TCAGGGAAGCTTTAAACCAAAGTCACCGTTGGAGGAGTCCTGTGTCTCCTCTGGATGGACCTGTCTTACTATCCTCGCCACACTCAGTCCTTGGCTGGGAGCAGCCTGTAGAAGCATGGCTTTGGTGATGAATTTTGCAGCAATGAATTTTGCGGCAAAGAAACTAGGCCCTTGATCAATTATGCTTCCTGTAATGGGAGATCTGCAGGGTGCATTCTTATGGGCCTCCACAGTTTTCCAGGAATTCAAAGCACTGTTAGAATCCAAGAGAAAGGGGTCAGAGATTGACCCTCTCTCTTGACCTCCCTGAGTTTGCATCATAGGCCTGAGTAACAGTTTTTGTGCTGAGAATTTCATAAGCACTCATAGGAATAGCTGCTTGTAGAGCATTGTCAATGTCTGTGGTGGGCATGGCTACCCTCCTTGGAATGGCAGAAGAACGGCACTCAGGCTGCCTCCTGAGGAGCATTTTTAGAGACTTGAGCTCAAGGCTTTAGAATTTCTATGTGAAAAAGGCTTTGGAGTATAAGGGGCTTATATACCGTGGAGCTCAATGACAGGAATACCGGAGGCTCTCCAAAGCTTCATGTGGTATAGCCACTTCCTGTAGAGTCCTACAGCATTTCCCTTTACACCTCGAGACAAGAAATGGCTCACTGTCCTTTATTTCTTTTACAGTATAGCTTGATTGCCCACCACGAAATTCGTAGAACATAGAGCACAGACACCAAAGTCCTGGGTGTCATTAGGATTCTTTTAGTCAACAGTAGAGAGGTGGCTGTCTCCTCATAAGAAAATTGGGGTGATTTTAGGATGAAGCCTTGATAGCTAGGCTGCTAAAGATGCTTATAAATATTTATTATAGGCTATTTAGCCAAGGATAGATGTGGGTCTAATTTATGGAAACATTTTGCTGAAATAGCAAGAAATAAAACATAAGTCTTAGGAAACTTATCAGGAGACTCTACAACAATATAGTAAAATAATCTGATTATATTTCTGCCCGTTCTGCCAGATGATAAGCAGGGTGAAGGCAGAAATTGTGTCATGTTCTTTAAAAATATAAGTGAATTATCTAAGTGATTCATGAAAATCTTTTTTATAAAAATAAAAGTTACTAATAATGTTGAAATGTCCTTTGACTATCACCTCCAAACTAGCCTGCCTCCTCCTTCCCATTACCCACATGCCAGGCACACAAATGTGGTTCAAATGATGCTTGTTGACCTGCATGGGAGAGGTCCAGAGCGGAAACAGAGTGAGGTTCAACAGGCAGGCAGGTAGCAGCGTGGTGGGGTAATTGACCCCCTACCTGTCCCAGTCTGGCCAGGCACCGTCTCTCTGCACCACTGGCTGCAAGGCTACAAACATTTTTCAGCTTGTCACAGGTTGCCAAACTGTGATATACAACAGAGTTGATGTAAACTTCCACACTTTCTGGAGGGTAGTTTTGCTACTGTCATCAGAGTTGTGGCCATATTTCCATGGTTTTAATCTGGTTTTGTGACAGATACTTCTCCAAGTCTGTTGCTGGTCCTTGAAGGTGGAGACTCAGGGCTATCAAATTTTACCAGAATGACTTCTCTCTCAAAATAAGAGTAAGGATAGAAGATGAGAACATCTTTTGGTCAGGTATTGCCAGACATAGATGAGCATAATCATGAATCGGGTGATGTTAATTGGAATGGACAGTGGGACAGGAACAGAGAAGTCAGAAATGGACCAAGTAAGAAGGTGGTGTTGACCTTCCTAGGCCCACTGGTTCAACCCATGATGGAGGCCCATGGTCTGGGTAAGACTGGAGGGTGATGAATAGAAGTCAAGGACTTCCTCTTGGTTAAAAAGGCAACGTCAAGAGGGAGGATGAGGAGTAGAAAAAAGAAGAGAATCAATCAATCCTTTCTCAGCAAGACTTTGACCAAGTCACTTCCCTTCTCTACTTCTTTAGACCCATGCCCCTACAGTGAGTATACGAACAATAGCCCATAACCTGGTATTTACGAGTTACTCTGCGGGGTGAAGAGTGAGAGAGTGCTCATGAATGGGGATCAGCCCTCTAGTGGTCCTTTCTCTTGGACCCTCTGTTCAATCACTAAGTTACGGGCAAATTCTTTCAATGTTGAATGCCTGTTTGTCTAATTGAGTGGACTTTTACTTAAAATTCTTATCTGGGGTACATGCAGTAAGTGGAGAAAAATGTAAGACACTTTTTCTTTGGTCATTCCTAACGAGCCCTGAGGATAAAGCCTGAGTAGCTTGTGTTAATGATTAAACTTGCCCATGGTCAGGTCTGAACTTTTATTCTGGTACACATTTGGCCGGGACACAAACGAGTTAGGTGAGTTATAGTCCAACATGAGTGAGCTACCTGCGTGGTGGCTGCAGGCTGGGCTCTAACCAGATAACACGGCTATCGGTTTTTGGCAAAGAGAAATGAGATCACTTAGAAAGAAAAGATCATTTCTCCCTTGAGACACAAGGAGAAAGAAACAGAAAAAAAAGGTACTGTTTGATCCAGAAAAGTCTCTGCTCTCTGTTTCCTAAGTGTTGTATCTTTTGTTAATGTTGTGGTGAACGAAAGGAAGAAATGGGAGATCTATAGAGATCTATAGTAGTGCCTTATGGCTTTGTCTCTCAGTGTCCCAAAGGAGAAGCTGAGAGGGAAGGGAGGAAGAAAGGAAGAGGGAGTGACAGCAGAGAGAGGAGAGAAGAGGAGAACAAGGACGTGACAAAATAAATGCATACCGCTCTCCTCTGTGGTTGAAAATTTTGTGCTGAAGAGAAACAAAGAGACATTGAGTTTATTTTTAGGAAAAATTAGTGGACTGACTAATAGAAAGTTATATTTATAATTGACATGAAAAAGATGTGGTTCTGAATGCAAGGTTTTCAGAAAACCAATATGTAAACGTTTATTTCTGTTGTTCTGAGCTTGGGAGTAGGCGCTAAAAAGAAATGCTAAAATCACAAAGCCAGTTTGAAAATAGACTCTCTTGTGCTGAGTATATTTTGTCTGTGTAACAAGCAGATTAGATCTCGTGCTTTTGGACTAAGTAGCAAATTCTCTTGTGTATTTTTCTATGCGGTAGATGTATTCTGAAAATTGAATGTTTATAAGTTGAATTCTACTTCAAATAGACATAAAAGTATAGGGAATTTTGCAACAAGGGAAAAAAAAAGGAACACTTGTTGAATCCACTTGAAAATGCTAGAATTCTTTTTTAAAATCTAAGTGTTTTCCACGCTTACCCTATCTGGCAATGACTTGAGGAGCAGGCACACAGATTATTTATTTGTTTTCCCGGGTCTTAGTACAGTGCTTCGCATGTAGTAGGCATAAAATAAATGTTTGCAGTATTGAATTAAGTAGAAATGATTATATATTTTGAGCTATCTTAATCAGGACATGTCTGTAAGGTAAGTTTATTGCAAATTTTTTGCAGATGTTTTTCTTTCCCCTGAGAGTATATTGTGGCTTTTATATTTTCTGAAATGATGTAATTACTTCTGCTAATCTCAGCGTTTTCTTAAAAATATAAATTAAATGGCCAGGCACAGTGTCTCAGACCTGTAATCCTAGCACTTTGGGAGGCTGAGGCTGGCAGATCACTTGAGGCCAGGAGTTCAAGACCAGCCTGGCTAACATGGTGAAAACTCATCTTTACAAAAAATACAAAAATTAGCCAGGCCTGGTGGTGCACACCTGTAATCCCAGCTACTCTGGAGGCTGAGGCATGAGAATCACTTGAACCCGGGAGGTGGAAGTCACAGTGAACTGACATCATGCCAGTGTACTCCAGCTTGAATGACAGAGTAAGACTCTGCCACACACACACAAAAGTGTGTCTGTATGTGTGTGTGTGTGTGTGTGTGATGTATACATGCTTTAAATATATTATTAAATATATTTATATACTTATATGTAAAAACATATAAATATAATTAAATATATATATTAAATGTGTATTAGAAGTATGTGTGGGTATTTAATTCTGTAATTTTCAAACTTTCAGAAACTTTCAGAGGCACTATTTTTAAGAGGATTTTGTCTATGCCGTCTCCCATGGAGTGCTGGAGAGCAGCTTAGCATTCTCCCTAGAACAGGCCTCAGGGTCCCAGAGCATGAGTTTTTCACCAGGCTTTCATGGACTCTACCGTCCCAGGAGAGTGAAAGCTGTTCATCTCAGATTAGGTAAACCCAGATTTAGGCTATTTAAATATGTATTCATCAACTCCAATGTACTCAGCCCTGTGTGGGACCTCCACACTTTCACACTAAGAAGGCTGTGGAAATAGAAGACTGGTTCTTGGGTCTGTCCAAGAAATGTGCCGTCTAGAAGAAGAGGCGTTATGTGTGCCACATTATCTGGTCTAGGTTCTGCTGCACGGAAGCTAGAAGTTCAGCCGGAATGGCTGAGGAAAGAATCAGTGGAGGAAGGGCTCCTGAATAGTATCATGAAGGAGAGCCAGGATCTCCTGAGGCCACGGAGAGAGTTGAGGGAATCCAAGAAGGGACCAGTAAGGGCCAAGGCAGAGGCTGATGTATGGAGGGCTTGTGTGAGTGTTGGTGAGAACGGCGTGGCTGCAGAGCAGGATTCAAACTGGAGACCAGTGCAAGGGAAAGCTGGAATGGCAGCACAGGGCAAAGCAGACAGACCCCACCACAAACTAGAATTTTAGTATCTAGAATTCTTTTATAAAGAATTCAGCTTTTGTTCAATAATGAGTTAATGAAAGAGGTTATTTTTTATCCAGCTTAAAATAAATTGGGGGACATATATACAATAAGCTGGTGGGACAAGGAGGGCAGAGTGGGGGTGATTTTATGTAAGGTTCTTAGATAATCCTTTTCTCCTGAGCTTAGAAAGATGGTGGGTCCATTTGAAGACACTAAGGCCATGTTTACCTCATATCCTTAATTTTGCAGGTTTCAGTAGAGCAAAATAATAGTATATAAACAAAGTGATTTTTTTTTTACTTTATTTTTTATAAAGCACAAAAGCTATGCTGCTCCAATCAAAACTGAAAATGTTTTTAATGTCTGAGCAATCTTAAGAGTATTGATTGAAGTGGACAGGATGCCTGCCTGGCTGATCTCTCTGATGAGTATTGAAGTACTACTTTTGGCAGGTGAGTAGAATGTGTTCTGAAGGAGTTATAAAGAACACAATAGGTTACCTTGAGAACTATTATTGACACTTAAAGTGTTAATTTGGTTGCACACCATAAATAAATGCATTTTTAACTTGCAAATCAAAAAATTGAATTAAAAATATTGTTTTTAGAGGAGGTGTTCAAGTATTTGCTTTTGGGTTTAAATTATCTGTTGAATAATTTTTTTTTTCTGTTTAACAGTTGAGATTATGTACTAAAATGTTACAACTATATACTTCAATTTTTAATGGCCAATAAAGATTGCTGTTATAGTGCAGAGCTTTTAATAACTTATAACCTTTCTTTTATAATTCCTTTTGGGCTATGTGATGTAATTCTTTTTAGATTTTACTGCCCTACCTTTCCAAAGAGAATAACTTGTCATAATGATTAGAACACTTATTGCAAATCATCTGTTCAGTTTTCTCTGTGAATTTGGTTATTCTCTGTATGTTTTTATGGCATTTGTTTTTGGGCTTCTTTAGATAGAAATATCTAATCAGCTTTGGAGGGTGGTCTAGTCTGTCTGGGGCTGCCGTAAGTGGTTGTTAATGTGACATGGTTCCCCACTACCCTCGGCTGTGAAATGCATCGTGAGAGTAACTGTAAATGGAAGTCCTGGGCTAGACACAGTTTCTGATAAGAAAACTACAAAGAATTCCATCAGTAACACTTTCCTTGCTTGTTACTTCACTGAGCAGCTGAATGATAATTTGCTGTCTTCCTTAAGTTGGCTTTCCCTTCATCAAGGCATGTCCAGGAACATCTTCAAAGATGGAGGGATTGATTAAGTCCCATGCTTAGCTGGTGATCTATACAGGAGAATCAAATCTAGCCTAGCATGTAAATTCCATACTTCTTTTTTTTTTTTTTTTTTTTTTTTTTTAAAAAAAAAAAAAAAAAAAAATTTTTTTTTTTTTTTTTTTAAAATTTAAAAAAAAAAAAAAAGAAATTCCGGCAATGATCCATACTTCACTCCCTCTCTAAGCAGTCCAGTCAAAAATCTAGGGAATTTTGTATTTATTTGGGAAGTCATTCTGATCTGATCATGAGGGGAAACTAGAGGACAGTATGTTAAGCAGGAGAATTGAAATAAGAACAGCTATTAGGTTGGTGCAAAAGTAATCGTGGTTTTGTCATTAAAAGGAATGCAAAACCACGACTACTTTTGCACCAATCTAATGGAAGTCTCTTTTTCCCTCCAGGGCTGAAAATAAGCGGTGATTTTACAGTGAAATATGGCCACCTGATTAAAGAGGGGGAAAGATAGCAGAGAGAGGTAGCGTGGGTTTGATCAGGACCCAAATACGTCCCTGAGGCTCTTCCCAAAGGAAGTAGAAATTCAGAATTGTCCTGATGAATGCAGGGTTTTTGAATGTCTAAGATGAAAGAAATTGGTCAAAATTTTTCTTAAAATGGGGCTTCTGATGATGTGTTCTGCATACCAGCAGTACCTGGTTAGAAATGTAAATTCTTGGGCCTGCCCCAGACCTACTGAACCAGAAACTCTGAGGGTGTGGCATAGCAACCTGTGCTTGATCAAGCCTTTCTGGTGATTATAATGCAGGTTAAATTTTGCTTTAAAATACTGGGGAAGCTAGTGGTTTTGAATCTGACCTTCAAAACCAATGTTTTTCTCACTTATTTACAGTACCTCACCTGACTTTACACATTGAACCTGAAGAAGGTAGTCTTGCAGGGGGAACATGGATCACAGTCATTTTTGATGGTGAGTTGGGGTTTTACTAAGTGCATGTTTCTTAGTGACCTACAATCCGAAAGAACCCTAGTCTTCTTTAGGTGTAAAAGTGTAAGGACACTTTTTGAGGACAGGTGTAAAAGTGGGCCTGAAGGCAGATGGACAGACTGACCAACTTCTGTCTTTCTAGATACTGGCTTGCTAATGTCACAAAGCAAAGCACATCATGCCATGACACATCTGTGTCCACTTTCCCATTCCATGCTGTGGGATGGGACTCTGGGATTTCTACATGAGACTAAATAGAAGTGTGTTGCATAGCACTCAGCAATGCGTCTCCCAGAATCTTGGCTATCTTCCTTAAAGACAGTCCTCTACTTGGGAGCTTCTACACCATTGCTCACCATATCCATCCCCAGCAGAGTAAAGAGTAAATCTGAGGTCTGAAAAATTCTTCTCTGGATTTAGGTGAATCTGAAGAGAGAAAACTCTTTCATAAAATCATAAATGAGAAAACTCCTTTATACAGCAGCTATGAGGAAATGAGGAGTATTAATTTAATCCCTGGGTGAATTTAATGTCTAACATTGCCCCCAGAATCCTAGCACAGTTTTACATTATCCTGTGTGGATGACAATTCTATTCAGCCAGAGATTTTTTTCCCTTGCATTAGGTTTGGAGTCGGGTATTCTCTACCCCAACAATGGCTCTCAATTGGAGATATACCTGGTGAATGCGAGCATAGTGGTGTCTGCACTGCTAAGTATCCCCTGTGATGTCTTTCCTGTTTTCTTGGATTTCCCTGTGGTGACATGCCGGACCAGGTATACTTGTCGGGCAATAGGAAGACCAGACAGGATGAGGGCTTTTTGCTTATTTCAGTAGCTTTTAGTGAAATATTAGAACAGCTTTCGCTATGATTCAATTGCCAGCTAGAGTTGTTTAAAAAGTTTCATGTGAATATACTTTCTAAAAGGTCCCTATCCGGGATCTAGAGCTTAAGGGAGAGTATGGGGAGGAACTCTGAGATATTCATAAGGAGAGGCTGGATTGTGTTTCCATTTGTTTTTTTGCAAAGAGTTCTATGGGTATTAAGGTTTTAATAAATGGTGCTGTTTTGCCATTGCAAATACTTATCTTTGGAATAGGCATAATTGCAATGATTGCACATAAACCCCAAACTGAAACTGATTAGTAAGGAAATTTGCTTTAGGCTCCGTTTGCTGAATTTGACATTACCTCTATTTAGAAGGTATTTTTATAGGATTCCAGGAAATCTATTTTTCTACTCAAGTTTTTGTTGCCCTGTGAAGTTTAGACTAGTTCATCTTCATTTTTATTTACTCATGCCTAAGTGCATAAAAATGGATGATTGGTTGAAGAAAAAAAATACACACACTGTTATTTCCTTTCCTTTTCTGTTCTTTCTTTGAATAAAAGTCTCCCCGTCTTCCATTTTTGGCTTTTGAAATCACCAACCATGCTATAAATGCCACCTCTCCCCTGAACTTCCAACTAAGTGTTATCTTTCCTTTTTTTTGAAAGAAGAAGAAACAACTTGTAGTAATTCATCCACAGGGTGTATGTGTGTGCACCCACACTTTTTTGTGCAATTCATCACCTCTGAAGAGATTTTTTTTTTGTTGGTAATTTACACAATTGTACAGCATGTGTAACCTTAATGACTCTGTGCCTCAGCCCTGAGTTTCTCATGACACTTATATGTCAGTGACTCACTTGTCAGATTCATCCTCACTGAATTAAGTGCTCTGAGGGCAGGGGATGTATTTAATCTCACCATTGTAATCCTCATGATGCATTGCTCAATACCTTATAAGTAGAAGATGTTCAATAAATGTCCTTTGAGTTGAACTTTTTTATAGCACTACTATTGTTTTTAAAAGTGGGTTAAATATTTTTCCTTAGGTTTTATGGTACATTTGGGCATAGACTTTCTGCAAAGACTTGCCATGAAATAAGTCAAAGCTCTGGAGATTTACATGTCCTATCTCGTTTATCCCAACATACTAATGATTTTAGGATGCACCATTGATTTTATGTCATCTTTTTAAAGAAAAGAAATATTACCCTATTAAATATACTAATTGATTGGAAGACAATATCAGATTCAATTAACATTTAACTGTGAAACAATATACAGTTTATCATCAACAAAATACTGTCTTACTCATCGTTATCATAAAAACACATAATTGTTTTCTTTAAAACAGCCATTGCAGCATCAAAAGCAGCACTTCACAATCAAAATATAATGTGAGCACAAATGTAATTTAAAATTTTCTATTTAGCCACATGAAAAAGTCATCAAAAGCAATAAATGAAATTAATTTTAATAATGTATTTTATTTAACTCAACATATCTAAAATATTATTTTAATATGTAATCTATATAAATTAATAATGAGATACCTTGTATGTTTTTTGCATACCAAGTCTTCAAAATTTAGTGTGGATGTTATAATCATGGCATATCTTAATTGGGACTACCTATATTTCAAGTGCTTGTTAAGTACGTAAGACTAATGGCTAACACAGTGGACAATTCAGATCTAAATATTTATGGTCATACTAAAGATTTTGTTGGGAAGGTTTGGAGAGGAGGCACTTTCTAAATATAGCTTCTTTCTTATTCGTCATATTCGTCCTCTGACAAAAATCAACATGGATGTCAGCCTCAGGTGGCAAAGAAGCCATTGTGATATTTGTAAAAAGAGGAGACAAGATTCAGGACTCTCTGTTTTGATGGCTACATGAAGTGTTTATGGGCTGCTTGGACAATTATCAGAAAGAGCCTAGGATTCAAGGCCTACTTTGTCCTTAACCTTTGAAGTTCATACACATAAGTCTCTTAGTTTTTCTGAGATTTTTTTAAAACGTGGAAATGGAATAGATTATTTATCAAAGTCTCTTTCAATTCTTAAAGTCCTATGAACCTATGATTCTGAGAAACATGACATATTAAAAACAATTCAGGGAGTTTCAACACAAAAAATCATAACCACTTTTGCTGAAGGACCCAGTTCTTAACGTCTAATAATTATGAGAGGATCTAGGAGGCAAAAGGTGATTGATAGGAATCCTTGGTTAGCTCTGTTTTACAAGTGGAGGGAGGAAATTTGAAGTGGTCAAGTGGGCTGCTAGCTCTGGGAATTCATGGTTTTTGATTCATAAGGATTTCTACTTTTTGTCCTCAGATCTCTGCGATCTGAAGCACACGAGGGTCTGTATTCCCTGGAAGCATACTTCGGGGGTCAGTTGATAAGCAGCCCAAGTCCAGGACTACGAGACAGGTGTACTTTCAAGGTGGGTTCTAAGGCTGGAGGAAGGTATGTTTACATAGTCTGAGGGTGTACTCATGTTGCTGAAAGGCACATTGTAAATGAGCCAGAGTGTCTGCTTGACTGGGTTAAAAAAATGGTGGATGGTAATGACAGTTTCTTAGATTCTACTAACGAAAGATGAATGTTAAACACTTGTGTGTCAGCCTCTAGCAAAATGCTTAATGTAAATTGTCTAATTCAATGCTCACAATTTTATGAGGTAGCTATTTACTGTTGTTTACAAATGAACAACCTGAGGCTCAGGGAGATTAAATAATTGGCCCATGTCGTCTGGTAGTAAATGGCAGAACCAAGATTTGAACCTGCGTCTGACTCTAAATTCTCTCCTAAACAGAAGCCCATAGAGGGGCCACCAAGATTACCTTTGCAGATCAGTGTTTCATTTTATAGCTTGGATCATGCTGAGTCTCAGCATGGTGAGGAGACTCAAGGACCCACATTCCTTGGTGAAGAGACCCAATTTCTACCTCTCCCCCTGCTTCCTGGTATATTTCTGCTAGTCTTTCCAACACTGAACCAAAAGGACATCTGCTGCTGGAATTCTCCTTCATGCTTAGGGAGATGAAAAAGGAAGCAGAGAGAGAGAGAGAGAGAGAGAGAGAAACTTTAGGAAGCCATGCCTGACTTATTTTACAGTCTTGATAACTATACCAGGAGTTTGTTTATATTTGGTTCAGTCTAGTGTCCATTTCAGATTAGTTTTATATTAAAACAATCTCTGAAAGGTAGGTCCTAGACAGTTTATAAAAGGCAGAGATTTGGCAGTACTCCTGTGGATGTGGTTGCACTTCACATGGGGTACCTCTGTTTAAGAGCTGTTTCAAAACATACAATGTAGTCACTAATTAACGCTCCTTCAGAATAAGGCTTCATCTTGTAAATTCATCTCTCCTACGATCCACATTTCATATAGGCTCTTTGTTTTTAAAATTTCGAATTTGCTGTTGTTACAGGTTTAATAATTTGTGTCTTAATCCAAGAGAATCTTGTTTTCTGGAATTTTGCTTTCGCACATATGCAGCAGAAAGAAAAATCATTATATCATTTTTTCTTACTAAGAGCCGCACCACTGCCTCTATCCTGTCTCAGGGAACATAACAGAAAAGAGAAGGCCAAACATGCTTCTTAATCACCATGATCCTTTTCACCTCAGATGGTAGTTTTCCTACTTATTAAAAGATTTGTTAGAGAGAGAGGGGGAAAGAAGAGAAATGCTTCCTAAAATTGCACATGAAAGAAAACAGGTCCATCAGTGGTTCAACTATGCTGGCGAGTTGATGAAAAATCACCAGGGGACGCAGTTAATGAGAGGCATTCCAAGCTAAAGAAAACATGGCATGTCTCTTTGTTTTGGGACTGGGACGGGGGGAACCATGAGTATTAAAAATTAATCCCATCTTGCCAGTCCACTGCAAAGAGCCTGCTGTGGGCACTGACAAGTTTGAATAACTCACAGAAGGTTGGTCACACAGCTGGTGGCTGCGGCTTTCTCATCCTAATCTGCCGCATTTCCTCTCCCCTCTCTTGCTTCTGCTGACCTCACTGGGGCCCGAGGAGCAGCATGCGGGAAGCTTGATTTGGAAGCTCATTAATTTTTCACTTTGTCATGTCTCTAGCCTGGTGGGTGACCAGGTGCCTGTTTCTCTTAGAAATGTACTATGTTACGTTGTGTCAGCTCAGAGAGAATCACAAGTGAAGCCCTTTTTGAGGCTTAACCCCAAGCCTGGCCCACCACAATCTCAGGTGCTGGGAGGGAGTAATAAAGGAGTCGCTTTATTTCCCATGGAAGTCCAGTCACAGGATTACAGACTGAGCGGTAGCTCTTATATTTCAGGTTGAAATAGAGAGGTATGCTTCCTTATTTGGTTTGGACTTGGTTGGTCCAGCTGCCTCAGCTTCTAAACATCTGTGAGATGGGTCGATAACCCCTACTCTGCTTCACTAGGCTCCTATGATATAGTCCAGTTGAAATAATGTTGGTACAAAGGCCTAGGGGCAGTGGTTGGCTGGGAAGCTGGGGTGGGGATTGAATGTTTGGCAGGTGTGTGCATAACTGTATTAATCTTTATCTTTTGGTGAGACCAGAGCCAGCTCCCAATTTGTGAAGTCACAGCATTGTTATTTTGACCCCGTGACGGCACATATTTTCTGTGAACTATTTTCTAACTTTTTCCTTTAGAAAGTGAGGAAGCTAGCCTTCATGGCAGACTGTACAGCATACAGATCAATACTTAAAACCTATGCTTGGCAAGCCACCATCAGTTTTGTTGAAATGTCTGTTGATTCTCAATGTCTGATTAGGGCTGTTGATTAACAACCGAGTTATTCTTTGGTGATATTCTCTCTGGGAAGGTGGACTCCTGGGGTGCTGGAAGCAGACCAAACAAAACAATTTGCTGCTGTAATTTGTTTTGCAAATGGGAAGCACTGTAGGTTGTGTGGAATGGTGGTAGTCTAGGCATCTGGAGGAGGTTGGGGGGTGGTGGGGAAACCAGGTCTGTTCCTAGCTGAGTCATTGGCTCACAGGTCAAGCCTTAGTCTGGCCATTCCATCCTTAAGCTTTCCCGTTTCTTCACACTGGCCCTGATGTGATTTTCTGATGGAGTAATGCACTAATCTTAGACTAACCCAGATGTCTACAGGTGAGATGGAGTTCCTGGGATTGCCTCATTCTCACCTGTCCTTCCAGGTAGTATATCAGTCATCCCAGATTGGGTGACTCTATTCATGCGCAAAAATTCAAATGCTGTCTACATATCAGTCTATGCACAGAGACACAGCAGCGACTCAGTCAGGCATTGCCCCTGCTTTAGGAGCTTATGGTTAGCAGAGGGTGTGCTTTGGGGACAGGGCCATTGTAACATGATTTGGAATGCCACCTCCAGGCTTTTTCAGGCTCACACTGCTCCCATTGACGCTGCTTTCCTCCTCCTTGAAGCACAGTGTTGCTCCCCATTCCTTGAATCTTTTGAGTTATTTCTCTCACAGCAGGGACCCTCCATTTCCCTACTAAGCACCTCAATTGTGTGCCTATCCAACATCTCATTTTTTGTAGCTTCCTGATACCTGCCAAGGTGCTGACTGATAATGATTTAAGTTTTCATCCAATTAAATAAGTGTATTCCTTTCTAGAAAAATCAAAATCTTAAAGGCCCCCCAAAACATCAGATTGCAATAATGGAATTAAAAGACTGACATTCTGCATAAAAACCTGTCTACCTTTCCTTCTAGTAAAACGTGTTCTTGGGTATAAAAGGCGGGCAAGTAGAAACAGGCTTGTCAAGGTTTGGACAGTATGGTACAAAATGGAGGGCTATGTGACCTTAATAAAATTACCTCTACCTCATCTATAGTAGAGATATGATAATATCCGTCATTTCTGTTTCATAGAAATATTAGGATAAAAAGAACTAGATAGATGTGAGGTTAACATGAGGAAAGGTAACCATTTATTACCTTCAAGTAATGCTGTCTGAGTAACATTTGTGCCTCCTGTGTTTGTGAACATTTTAATGACATGCTCATTTGTGGTAATATTTTCTAAACAGTTTTCCAAGGCACAGACACCCATCGTTCACCAAGTTTATCCCTCAAGTGGAGTTCCAGGTAGGAAATATTCTATTAAAATAGGAATAATTGTGAATCTCTTTGCCAAGGCTTGTTGCAAACCTAGGTGAGTGGTTTTTATGAGTGGGAAAATTTAGCTTCTTGTTTGATGCTGTTTTGAAAATAAGAGTCAACCTCCGGTTCATTTTTTAACTTGCTTTGGTTTTACCTCGGGCACTTCTGCTCTATTACTTCACTGAAAACAAAAGGAATCCAAACATGAAAAGAGAAAGAGGCCGGCAAAATCAAATGAGCTGATGGTGGAGACTGGAGGAAAGAGGAATTATCCTGCTTTTAACTTTATAATCATTCACATAATAATAAACCTTTGTTAAACCCTTACTGGGTGCCAGGCTCCAGTCCAAGCTCTTCAGATATCTTCTAGATCCTCACAAAAACCGGACAATAGAAGAGCTATTCTTATTCTCATTTTGCAGATGAAGAAATGAGGTAGCAAAAGGTTAAGAAATTTGCCTAAAGTCATAGAGATAATAAATATTACAGCTGAGATTTGAACCAGACAGCTAGATCCAGAGTGGCCCATATATCCACCATTTTGTCATGTTTTGAGTAGCATTGGGTGCCACTTGGTAGACCATTAACTCTAGTCTTCATCTAGGGGTTTTGTTTATAAAGTTAGAGAGCACACAGATATGTAAAAGCCAGGAGGATAGAAAAGAAGATTATACAAAGCTGGGGGATTTACATAAAAGGAGAAGGGATTGCAACTGAGAAGTGGATTCAGGAATTGGTAAATCTGGCTTAAAACTAAGTAGCAAACACAACTAGGATTATATATAATTTGCTGTCTGATTCCTGCCAAATTCCTACCTTTATTTAAGGTTTTTCATTTGTTAGGGTTTCCAAAATGGCACGAATGTGCTAAAAAGTTGCTAAATTTTTATTATAATCGTGCCTAAATGCTTAGAAGGATCTTGTTTTGATTGGCTCAATTGCTCAAGCATGTCAAAATGAAGATCTAAGTTACTGAAGAGCATTTGTATATTTTCTGTGTTTGTGTGTGTAGGCACAGATTATGTGTGAGTGAATTTAAATTATATTTTGGACAATGATGAATTTGGCATCCTCTTAGTCCTGTGGGTTTTCTGCAGATCTGTTCCTTTCCATTTGTCGGAATAATGAGGATCTGATATTTTATGAAAAAGGGATGTGGTCTGTAAACACTACCTGAAGACATTTGGGTCCCTGCTGCTCTGGTGTTAGAAGCTCCAGTTTAGATGGCAGATATCTTGTTAGGGTGAGGTATGAGGAAGGAGCCAGCCATTAGAGGTGTGAAATGGAATGTCAGCTGGCACCCAGATCTGCCAAGCCTGTTCCTCCCACTGAGCTGGAGTTCTGCTCTGTGTCTCTTCCACCTTCTGGGGGAAGGATTGGTGGCTGGCTGGGTTGGAGTGGTCCTTCTGGGCAGGATCCACACGACTGCATCTTTTCAATCACTTTCCAGACAATTACTTTCATTTCATTTGGGAAGCCTGCCCAGCGTAGCAGCCAGGGAGATGGGGGAGGTGTCAGGGACAAGAGGGACGATGCTTTCTGAGCAGTTGGATTTCTACACGTTGTTAGCAGTCTTTCACGACGACATGGAATCTCCCAGCACTGTGGTCTGGTGTGGCCATTTGTCAGCCTCTGTTGGCCATCTTTGTTTAGAAACAAAACAAAAGCCCACAGAAATTCCTAACTTCTGCAATCTTTCATTAGTTTTTAAAATTGTGCCTGTCAAAGCCAGAAATCATACCCACCAAGGCTAGGGAATCGATCTATTAGCCCTATTGAAATTATAATTATTCTTCCAGATTTTTTTTTTTTACCAGTAACAGGAAACTTGAGGCTCCATGTTTCTGCCAACTCTGTGACCTTTGTCTGTCTTTAGGTCTTTCCACCCATGCACCTATAAAATGGTAGCTGTAATACCTTCTGAAATGTTTCTATTATTTTAGTGCAGTCATCCAATGACTGTAGATGAAAGTCACTTCTTATTAATAATACACAAGTGCAGTATGAAGGGAACATCTTTTTGGTCACATTCTTTGGTGACCTTCAGTGTCCATAAAGAGTCTTCTGGATTTCATGACCTCATGAGTCCCTCAGTACCCTTTTCTCTTCCATTCCTTGAGGTTTATATCACTAACCAACATTCTCTCATCTCTAAACATTGTCTGTGATGGTAGAAGATTAAGTATACATGGTTAAATATTGTAACTATTTGGAAGGCGCATACTTGGGATCACTGAGAACCCATCCGATTGTGTGATATGAGCCTCTTCATATCACATGTTCATTTTAGCAAGTGTCCAGAGGAAAGTCTCATGAAGTCTGGGGCACCCCAAGGCACATTGTTCTTAAATCTCATGTTGGGTAGATGGTCTCCACAGAGCCAAGAGAATGTAACAGGGCAGTATGTGGAAATAAGCCCTTCCTTTCTGAAACGTTCACACCTCTGGGTCTGTGAAGAAGACCCATTATTCTCCTTTCTATGCTCCACGTGTAGATGATTATGACTGTGATTGAAATAATTGCTTATTTTAGCTTTTATATTGCGTAATATTGATCACTAAATCATACCCTTGACCTTATTGTTATACAATTTATTAAAAGTATTAATTTTCCGGGTCATGACCAGCTTTGCCATATTGGTTATATGTAATCAAAAAGAAACACAGTTTTTATTATACATTGAGAGTTTGAGCTAAGTCCATTGAATTAAAAAAAATTCTTATTCAAACAGGAAAACTAATACATGTATATGGCTGGATTATCACTGGAAGATTGGAAACTTTTGATTTTGATGCTGAGTACATTGACAGGTAAGTATGTGTTTGTTTTTGTGTTTAACTAGTTACATGCATGCTGCATGGCTTCCTGGGACCACCTTCCCTGACAGCAATAAATTGTAAGCCGTTGGCACAGAATTGCTATTTTCCTCTTTGCGGTTTACGGTCCCTCATGAGCTTGGCTTCAGCAAACTTTGTTAATGTAATTGCAACTGGTCAATTAAGCTTATCTATTTATTTACTGACAACTAGTCATTCTGGGCTCAGTGTGAAATGAACTATAATTGCATCAGTGGATTTTCATTTTGAATTCTCACCCTTCCTTCCTTTGTTTCTCAGGCTGAAATAGATTCTTTATAAAATAATGTGTAAACCCAAAAGCGCATTATAACTTTCTTATTTGGTTGTTATCCATTTGTGTATTTAGAAATTGTATTACTGGGATCAGAGGAAAACATGGACACAGGTACTAAAAGCCATAGAGCTTTTAATGTTTTCTGGAAATGATTAGGACGTCAACATGGCTTTCTTCACTGGAGATGTGGTGGAAAGTGTTACTATTAAATCATCTACACTAGAGAGAGAGGAGAACAAGACAAAAAGTGTTGAAATTATTGAAATTGTTGAGTTTGTGGGAAGCTCTAAGCAACTGTAATCATTCAACAAATGAAGCAATTATACTGAGGATTTATAAGGTAGAAGGAAAATAATCTTACTATATGCTCAGCTGCATAGATTCTATACATGGTGTCTAATTTTTCCTTCACTCTGGATGCGTTGGGGGCATCCTCTTCTATTCTACTCCGTTTGTCTGATTTTACCCTAGTTGAAGAGAACATGATCTGATTACTCTCAAGATTTACATTTCTGGCATTAAGCAATAGTCAACTTACCTTACAAGAAAATTACTCTTGTTGTGGGGGATAGAAACTCCTAGTACATCCTTGGCAATGTGCCATATTTGCTAATTGGTTCCATCTCAGCCTTGGTTTGGGATAAAGCCTGTGAAAGAGGGAATAAAGGCATAAATGCCGTGCTATAGAACAAATATAGCCAGTGTGGAGACGATGAAGGTTTTTTGGGAAGGGGGAAATATTTTCTGTTTAATGTGAAAGCATTAGCCATGAGTGCACCCCTACTCTCTGCTGAGAATTTGACTTAACATCCACTTGAGACACAGCCTTCAGCCACCTGCAATGTTGTAGAATAATTCATAACCATGTTTCCTCTGAGTTTTGTGAGGAATGTTTATTGGGAGCATTGCACAATTATCCTTTGTCTTGTCTTTTCTTTTTTTAATCCAGCCCAGTGATCTTGGAAGCTCAAGGAGACAAATGGGTTACTCCTTGCTCTCTTGTAAACAGGCAGACGGGAAGCTGGTGAGAGTCTTATTTATCTTGCCAATGCATATGCTTGTAAGTTCTTCTACATGGATGCAACACACGCTCTCTCTGTCTTTCTTTCCCCACTCAACACATACCTGTTTTTCTTTTCTAAAATAGAAATCACACATAGCTATTGACTGCCTTATCTTTAGGCTACTGAAAAAGACACAGGGATTGATTCAAAATGCATGTTGAAGTGGATGCCAAAAACCTTCCTTGAAAACACATAAACACATAGCTAATACTTGTTAGAGGCTTACTATAGGCCAAACTCTGCTCTAATGCTTTACATTGAAGTCACCCAATAATCTTGGGAGTATGTACATTTATTAGTCTCATGTTACAGATGAGGAATTTGAGACACAGAGAAGTTAAGTAACTTGTGCAACGTCCCAAAATGAGCAAGTGGCAGACCTGGGATTTGAACCTTGTCTCACTAACCAGCCCCCAGAGTTCATGATTCTAACCACTATGCTTCAATGACTAGCAAAGGTAAAAATAACTAAAAAATTTAGAAATAAGTTTCTGCACACTCCAGTTCAAATATTCAACATTTTGCTGGATTTTTGCTTCACTCTGGACAGGATGGGTTGCCCTTCCTTAGAGGCCGTTACAAGAATGACACTGTCTGGTTTCAGTTTTCCATACCGGTGTATAGTAGAGCCAGGTTCTACACTTGTGCTAGACTTCCTGTGCCTGCATTTTGTTAGCTCAGGATTATCCTTTCTGGGGCTCATACTTGATAACAGATTGTTTTTTTTTAAATAAGTGTTTTGCTATACTTGTCATATGATGCATTTGAAAAGAAAGGACCAAATGCTTAGGGTAATACTAGTTAGTACTAGGGCAAGTGCTTAGGGTATTACTAACTAGTATATATATGGGGTAATACTAACCAGTATTACCCTAAGCATTTGCCTTAATGAACTCATTATACCTTCAGTACCTACCATTTTCTCTGGCAAATTTGTGTTATCTTTTGTTTTCGACTTTCCTGGTTAATGAATCAGATCTTGTGGCAATGAGTTGTCTGTTCATTCTTACCTCAGTTTGTCTTTTCCTTAGTTATCCTATTCAGGAGGACCACGGTCTTGGGACTCTGCAGTGCCATGTGGAAGGCGATTACATAGGTCTGTTAGAGAAGTAACGTAATTTTAAAGTCGTATCCATTTCTTTCTCTGTATCCAACACAAAAACAATTGTAAGATTGAGTCTCATGAGGATAATAATAATAATAACAGCAATTACTATTTGTTGAGAACTCCCTGGAAAACATTACGATATGAAACAGCTCATATAGAAACCAATTTAATGGTCACATAAACCTGTGAAGTTGAAGGGATTATTTTGGTTTTGCAGGTGAGAAAATTGAAGCTAGTTACCAGTAGATCAATATTTAAATTATGCTCCATCTAACGCCAAGCCTGGGCTCTTCCCTGCTATGCAATACTACTTTTGCCCTTTTATTGCTGGAAGTACAATTGTTAATGATGCTAAGCCTCTGAGGTGGTTTTTTTTTTTTTTTGGTGGTTGGGGGAACCACTAAAGAAATTACAGGTTTGGATGGTAATTTGATGATATTGGAGTCTTTGGGCTTATGAAAGCAGTGGTGGCCTGGCCCAGAAGATTCATGCAGATTCCTGAGTTAATATGTGTTTCTTTGTGTTACAGGCTCCCAGAATGTTAGCTTCTCAGTATTTAACAGAGGCAAGTAAGTAACTAGGAATAGAAATAGGCAAATTTGTCTTCATTTTATGCTATCTCTCTCATCTTGCTTACTTTCTTTATCTTTTTATGATGAAAAATTTTAAACATATACAAACAGAATAGCATAATGAGACCACATGTGCCTTCATGACTTTTTTTACTTGAGTGAATAAAATTGTGTCCTCTTCTCTCATCTGTAGGTAATGTGTGTTTCAATATGGTGGCGGTGTAGAATTTTGGGAATTAATTCTTAAGTAATCTCAAAGTACTATAGGTTGAAAACTGTCACATGTGTCTTCTGAGGAGCATGGTTTCATGAAATGCATTGTATCATCCAGCAAGTGCCTTCTTCAAGATGGAAGGGGTCCACATTTCATCACACTTGGAAGTGATAAATTAGGATTCTGTATTTCTGGATCCTTACCTTACATTTTGCCCATATGTGATTTGACAGGTGTTTCTGTTAAAAGTGCAGGGTCTAATTGATAATAATTGCATTGTAATGACAGCAACACATTATATATAGCTCTACAGCCCAAAGTATGGAGAATGTATCTCTTTCTCATTTTGGAAAAATGAAATTAATATCTGTTGAATATTGACTATAGGCCAACTAAGGACTAGGCCTTTTCACACTTATTTTGCGGAATGTTTGTGACACCCTATGAAGTAGGCATTATTCCCATATGATAATTTTATGTATCAGAAAACAACTTTGTCTCATTGGTATTGTTCTGTAGTCATCCAAGGGAGCTGCTGTTTCAACTGTGCTAAGGATCAGTAGAGGTTAGTTCCCAATCTTCCTTTCAGGCAGCCAACCAAAAAAATACAATCCCAGATGATATTTTCATTCAAAACAGAACTTCGTATTTTTCAAAGGTCAATGGTCCACAAGAAGGCATGGCTGATCAGCGCTAAACAGGACCTTTTCCTGTACCAGACACACTCAGGTACGATTTCCCTTCACCATGTACTCCCTTCCCTTGTGCCTCACACAACGTTGGTCCCTCTTTCCCTATTTTTTGGCCATTTCCTGATGACCATTAACATCTGAAGCTCTCCCTATGATCACAGATGGCATCTTGGTTTTGGTTGAGATTAAATTGCTTGTATCCATGTCAAGTTTAGTTAAGACATTAAAAAAGACTTGATAATAAGCTTCTATACAAAGTCTATGAATCTAAATTGAGTAAAAGAAACAAGAGTCTTGCTTTATTCTATGTTCTGAAAGTAAAAGAAAAAAGATGACACTTAAAAACTCTTAGAGCACATCTTTCCAGTTACTTGAACATCTGTCTCTGAACATTCATTCAACAATTTATGAATAACATGGATGTTAAGCTGTTCTGTTGCCATCTGATGAGTAAACCCTCACACTAAAAAATAATGTGAAAATTGGAAACTTGCATGGAATTGTGAACTCGATTTGGTAGTAGAAAGCTGACTACTAAAGAATATTTAGGTTCTAGAATGGAATACAGTCACACAGCCACTGAAGAAATTTCTGTGAGGAAGATTCAGATTCCAGAAGCAATGAAAATCTACGTTTGTCAGAAGTGCAAGATAATTCACAGGTCATGGAGCAAATGTCATTTACTCTCCTGCAACAGCTGAATTTTGACCCTTATTGTTTCTTTCTTTGAACAGTATAACTAGTCTGTTTGGATTAAGTTTGAAGAAGCGCTCAAGGTGGTAGTGATAGTGATAGGTGCTGCAGGAAGAATGTCAGACCCTTGCTAAGTGTCTTACATGTGATCTCAATATTTATTTCACTTAAGTATGAGATGGGGTAACATTAGCCCCATTTTACAGATGAGGAAACAGACTCAGATAAACATCTTGTCCAAAGCCAGATGTCTTAGTGCTAGAATGTGTAGTTCTAATTCCACATCTTATGTCCATAGCCAATATGTGGTGGGAAGTACAGTCTTCTTGCCACCCCACTCCAAGGTTTGTTGTGAGCCTGCCCATTACCATCAAACCCTGGAATGATTGATGGGCTGACAGGTGTCTCTGATGACACAGCTCTTTTACATTTCCAGGGCCAATGTCTTCTTGGGATCAGGACTTACAGGCCAGAACTTCTTCATAGCAGAGGAGGCTGTACGAAGATGGGGTGTGCACAACTGCAAAGAGCCCTGGGCTGAGCTCTTCAGGGGCTGACATTCAATCACTAGTTGAGCATGGTTAAGCCTTTTAAGCTTTCTGAGCCTCAATGAAACATCTCTAAAATGGACAAAGTGGCACTTATCCTTCTTATTCCAAAAGTGGCTTAAAGAGTTAGAGGAGCAAGAATCTTGTAATTCATCCAGTATTTCTCTTTCCTCCTCTTTTCCATATCCATTCGATCACCAATTGCTGCCAGTTTTTATCTCTTATTTATGATGTATCTGTACAGCAAGTGCCTGTTTCTGGACCCCATCACCTCTTGTGTTACATGCTGCAGTGGTTTCTAGAGGCCCCAACTTGCTCTCTGCCTCCTCAAGCCCTTCCCCTTGCATGAAGCGTCTGTCTGATGCATGGTTTCTTCCTGCTCACCATCCTCTGATGGCTTGCTATCCCTCACTGGAAATAGGCCAAGCTTCTGATATCCTTGTTCTCTCTCTCTCTCTCTCTCTCTCATATTCCAGCAACACTTACATGCACTGTGCAATTCCTTCTCTCCACACTCAGGCTATCTTTTGCTTTAAATGCCCTCTCCTTTTCCACTTTGCTAGGCCACTTCTAATTCATCCTTTAAGACTCAGATTAGTGTCATCTCTAAACATTTTCTTCTATACCTCAATACTCCCACTGTACTCCTCAGTTTCTCTATTCTTTCATATACTCTCTAATTTCTCCAACCTAAGGTATTAAATGATAGTTTTGCATACCTGCCTTACAATGCTGATCTTCTCAAAGGACAGGAACTGTTTTGTATTCATCTTTATATCCCTAGTGCTATATAATAGGTGCTCTGTGAATGTTGAAAAAAATTATCAATTATCTACAACTATGTTAAAAGTTTAAGAACTTTATAAATTGTTTTGTCTTTGATCTGTGTAATTTTAAATGCATAACAAAAGAATGTGTTAATCTCTACATAAAACTGATACAAAATTCCAGTGCCGGTGGGGAAAAAAAAAAGGAATTATAAAGTAGTAGTTTAAAAGCACGGGGTTATTATAATTAGTGGTGAATTTTGGTATTTGAGGGCAAGGGATCAATCTTTGCCCCCCATATTTCTCCTCTGCTTTGTCTCATGGGCAAAAAGCATTATAAAATATCCTCATAAAATGTCTATTTTTAGGTAGTAACCATTCATCATTAGGCTTTGTACCTTCAGTTTACACAAAATACAACTCCTCTTTTCCCTGGAGGGAATCAATCTTAGAAATGTCAAAGTTTGATCACAGGAGAGGAAAGGATGAGATAAAGCTATGTGTCGCATTACTGTAGGTAATTTCTTTTCTTTTCTTTTCCTTTTTTTTTTTTTGTGACAGGGTCTCCCTCTGTCACCCAGGCTGGAGTACAGTGGCATGATCTCTACTCACTGCAACCTTTGCCTCCTGGGTTCAAGCAATTCTCCTATCTCAGCCTCCCGAGTAACTGGGATTACAGGGGCACACCATGACACCTGGCTAATTTTTGTATTTTTAATAGAGACGAGGTTTCACCATATTGGTCAGGTTAGTCTTGAACTCCTGACCTCAGGTGATCCACTCAACTTGGCCTCCCAAAGTTCTGGGATTACAGGCATGAGCCACCGCACCGGCCGCTGTAGGCAATTTCAAACAATTAGGAGTAGCATAAAAGAACTGGGTATGAGGTATGATGTGCGAGCATTCAGTGTGGGGAAGAGTAGGAAATTCCTCAAGACAGTGAAAGTCATTCTTCTGCTTAGAGTGAATCATGATTAATATGGGTGAACTGAAGTCTTTCCCAGTGTACCCAAAGTTGATGGCTCCTTGTGTTGTAATTTACTGTTCCCTGACTTGTCAATATTGTCCTTGAGGTCAGGAGACAGATTTTCTAAGAAAACATCATGATACTTAGGGACTTTAGCAGATACCATGAACAACTCCACATTTCCCCCTCCTTTCAAATATTGATCCTGGATGATACGTATTTCTAGTCCTTTTCTTATTATGTGCATTTTAAAACAGTAATTACCAGAAAAAACTCAACTTGTTGCTGGACTTAGAAAGCTAAAGCAAGAAATTATTAATGTCTCCTATTATTATATTATTATCTGGGTCATATTCTGATCTATATTTAAAAGCTAACTTTTTTTTTCCAAACTCTTGCAGAAATATTATCTGTGTTTCCAGAAACTGGGAGCCTTGGGGGAAGAACAGACATCACAATTACAGGAGACTTCTTTGACAGTTCCGCCCAAGTTACCATCGCAGGTAACTATCTTGAAGTGGCTGAAAATAGTTCATAGTTTCAGCTGCTTTAGGAGACTATATGTCTGTCTAGCATGAGAGGTGCAGGAGGAAGCTCGCTTTGCTCCTTCTGACTTACCGTGTTTGATAACTCAGGTGTTTGAGACCAGGTGGGATCTCAGTCCTGCAGTACATGGGTCACAGGAACAGGATGTCCTGTAGACACACTCACAATTCAGAGGCAGTTCCCTCAGGTGCCCCTAGCTTGTGAGTGAAGGGAAAGAAAGAAATACAGCTGCTTCTTGACAAAGGTTTACTCTTAATAAAAACAGCCCCTTTCTTCACTCTTCCTTGTTAGCTATCTTGATATAGACAAGCAGGAATGGGTGGGCATTTGCTATGCAGATTACTCTGGAGTTGCCCCACACCCCAACCTTGGCAAACCCTTTTGTGGATCTTTCTAGAGCCTTTTGTTCTTCCAGTTCCTGTAGTTGGTGGGATGCTTCTGTAGTTGGTGACACCAAGGATACAGGAGAGTGTCCTCACACTGTCATGCCACACTTACCTCCCACGCTTGGCCAAGTGGTTCAGTACGTCCCCAGTGAAGAGCATTCCATTGTGTGTCTTTCCTTCTGAATACTCCAAGCTGCCCTATGCTCCGCACTCTCTCTTTTCTCCTTCAATTGGGGTGACAGCTTTTGCTATTCCATCTATATCTAGCCCTTTACCTTAGAATAGGAGCCTGTCTACTTCAGTCTGGTCTTGCCATCACATCTTCCCACTGCTTCTTCTCTCTCTCTCTCTCTCTCTCTACACACACACACACACACGTATATATACACATATCTGTATATGTATACCTATACACACATACACATATGTACATAAATTTCTTTAATTCCCTTTAGGTATTCCATGTGATATTAGACATGTGTCTTCCAGGAAGATTGAGTGCACCACTCGGGCTCCAGGAAAAAATGCGAGGCTCACCTCCCCTCAGCCAGGTAAGGAAACCACCAGGGCTGTTCAATGAACTCTCTAGTTATAGCTTTAATCATGAGGGACTGGTGAGTAGAAATAAAAGTGAATTCTGATCTCATCTATTTGACTGGCTAACTCAGTGGGCCCTGGGTCCACAATACCATCGTCAAGGCTATCCTTTCAGGAAGTCTCTTAGCTTTATTCAGGTTTTTCGTGACATTGTGCATCTAGCCCCAGTTGGATGTATGGCCAGTGGCAGCCAGAAGAGACCATGATCCAGAAAGCATAACTGCCCTCAAGATATTGTTACAGCTACTGGAGGAAACCCCCAAACTGCCCTCCTTCATTTGATGGGTCTGTTGCACGTCCACTGGCTAAGAAGGCAGGAGCATTAGAGTCTGCTCTGCTCAAAACAACAGCATTAGACAAGGCAGGAGAGTGGGGCACAATGGGATGCATTAAAATATGAATTTTTCTCCCCTGTCGGCATCTGTCTGCTGCTTTGAAAAACAGGGATGTGTTGTGATGCTGCCACCAGCTTACGCCCGAAGTAGGCAGAAATGGAGGCGGCAAGGGAGCTTTCAGCTGTCCTCTATTTAAAATGTCCTACCCCACAGCAGCAAATTAAGAGCATTATACTGGAGCACTTTTCTGCTGAGCATTAGAACCGAAGGCTCAAGTGTAGTCAGGGATGAAGGGCGGTTGGTGTGTTACCCAGCTGGGAACCACAGGCTGCACATCTGTGCCCAAGGGGCTGACTTAATGGTTAAACTACAGGCGGCCGAGAGTCAACTCTAGAGGCACAGCACCTACGAGGAAAGTTGCCCAGCAGGGGAAGAAACGTTTCTAAAGAAAGGCCATTCAGGTGTGAAAATGCATGCAGAGTTTTGGCTTGAGAATTCTCCAGCTCCCAGATCTGCAATTTTAACTCAGGGAGGGCTTCCATCCAAGGAAACAAAACTGCTGAAACAAGTAGTTGGGATAATGTGTGCTTCCTGTCAGGAAATAGAGAGGCTGCTCCCTTTTTGAGTATTTATTTCCTGCTTTCCCTGCTTGGGTAGTGGTAGGATAATTTCCTGAATGCAGCTGGTTTTGACAGTTAGTAATGTCCTTTATGAAGGGCTTTTGAAGCTTCTTCCACAAAAGCCCAGCAAATTACTATGTAAACCAATCGTTTTCAACCAGGGGCAACGTTGCCCCTCAGGGGACAGGTAGCAATGTGTAGAAGCCTGTTTGGCTGTTAGACTGGAGGTGGTGGTGGTGGTCATGGTGGTGATACTGACATCTAGTGGGCGGGGCCAGGAAGGCTGCTAGACATTCTGTAATGCATAGGGCACCCTCTCACAACAGTTACCAGCCGATACAGTAATGCTGGGTTGAGAAATCCTGGTTTTGTTGAGAAATGCTGAGTGTATGATTGCTGAGAAATACTGAGTGTAGGATATATTGTTTACCAAGAAGAACCATGGCAAGGAAAACCTAGCCGTCCCCCCACCTCCCAAGTGGAAAACTGCCTGGGGCATTCTAAAGTAGCAGAACAGCATATGTATATCATACACCGGTTAAAACAGTAAGTATGGGATATGGGACCCACCCCCTTGGCTCCCTCGTGGAGAATGCTTTCTAGTTTGTCCGTGATCAGTGGTAAGCAGGCACCAGCTGCCTACCTAGTTTGTCTTGGTTCTATGAGAAAACACAGAACACCTGCTGTTAATAATAATCCCCTGTTCAGAGAGAATAAATACGTGTGTCAGCATCTGCTCGAGGCTCTCAGTCCAGAATGCCGTCAGCCCCTGAGGCTCTCAGCTGGGAAGGCTGTTGGCCCCTGGATAGTCCCGCTTTGCTGTTCTATCTGGGTGTCTGCTTCTGAATGCCTTCAGCACCACCTGGGTGGGGGTCTCTATGGCCGAGCTGGACTTGGTATGGTTTGAGGTAATATTTTCAAAATATGCTCTTATTTTTCTGTTTGTTCCTTATCTACCTCTCCCTTTTGGGAGTTGTTGAGGAACAACAGTATTAGTTTAAAATAATAATTACCATAATTACCTTTATTGAGTGTTTACTGTATTCCAAGCTCTTTGTGTATATATTTTCCCTTAGTCCTAGTGTATTACTGCTATTTTATTACTGGTCCCATTTTGATGCATGAGAAAATGAAGATGCAAGGACATCAAGGAATTTGCTGAAAGCTACATGTCTAGCTGTGATTCCAGAGCTTTTAACTTCAACCTAAGTTAGTATTCAGTATTGATGGTCCCTGTGCCTTTGGCCTTGGGGTTTGCTTAATAAAAATACAAATTAATACAATATCATTTAAAATGTCACATAATAGCAGCATGCCACATATTTGGCTCTGTGCGCAGATCCACAAATTGAGGCCATGGCGCTTGGGAAACTTAAGGATTGCCAATGTTATAGGGAAAAAGGACTTTAGAGAATTGAATTTCCCCACTGAACTGGGCCTTAAAAGGCACTGAAGTCCACTTCTGGCTTTAACAAGCACAAAGCCAAGACATGTCACAAGCACACAATCACATTGTCCTCCTTCTACTCAGCCTCAACTTCTGTGTGCTCATTCACATTTTATCCAGGACTTGGTTCTCTTCTCTAGGTACTCCTGCTAAAAAGGCAAACTCCTACCCCAAGGAATGTTACTGCTTTCCAGAACATCTGTATTTAATATTATCTAGAGAAGCTTTCATGTGACTGCTCCATCTGGCTCTAGGTTGACTCACTTTTACAGGTAGCCTCTGGGTCATCTTTCACCTTGTAATTTGAAATACAGTAGTTCTCCAATTTGGGAAGTTGTGCCCTGTACGGTTTATGAGACCTACATGTCTTACAGGCAATCGAGGGCTTCTTTTTGAAGTTGGAGATGCTGTTGAGGGATTGGAACTGACGGAAGCCACCCCAGGGTACAGGTGGCAGATTGTCCCTAATGCCAGTTCTCCATTTGGGTTTTGGTCAAAGGAAGGACAACCTTTCAGGTATGTTGTAGCAAAAGTGGGAGTCCACATCAAATGCATCTTTACTAACCTAGGTGAGGCTAGGAGACAGATATGGAAGGTATTGAAATTTCCAGGGAATTTATAACACCAGCCAATTCAACAACAACAGAGTTTGACAGTATTCTCAATCAGTGTTGGTCTTGCTAGTTCAGGGACAAATTTTGACGAATGTGTAAAATTTATATTTTCCACAACTAAGTTTACAATCTGTTCTGGAGATGATTATCAGCTAGAACATTGAGCTAGAGTTGAGCAGGCCAGGAGACTTGAAAGACAGCAGGGTAAAACATGCTTTTTAGGTACATGGTTAAGAGGTAAAACTAACTTCTGGCTGATGCAAAGAAAGATCCAAGAATTTGCCCTTTGGGTATATGAGGGAGCAGAATCTAGGCAGCATTCTGTAATAACACCCTTCCAGTGCTGAAGGTCAACCCAATGGGCCTTGTATAGAGGGAAAGCTCTTATGGGTTCTGTGAGACATTGTTTTCAGTAGTAGTGATGGCATCATGATTACGATTTTCTTGTTTAATGGTGTGTAATTCCTTTAGTCTTTTTAATCCTTTCAAAGATGTAGCCAAAATTTCTGTTAATCTAAAGTAAGCTTAAAAATCTAAAACCTTAAAAATTGCTCAGACACACAGTTTCCTCAGTCTGTTCTCAGTGTGTAAGTTGAGGGATGGGTCCTTTATAGAATGAGGGATCTCTTTTCCCTTTGAAATCCTTCTCAGAGTGGACGGCTGTGACTTCTGAGTGTGAATTTCAGCCAGTCTGCGACCTCCTCCAAATATTTTACCATTTTATTAGATTGGCACAAAAGTAATGGCAAAGAGCACAGTTACTTTTGCACCAGTAAATAGATTTCAACTCAATGGCGTAATAAAAAGCTTCGGGATTTTTAGGCATTGAATAAGCCAAGTAGGGTTGGTAATCTGTGAACAGGAAAGTGTCTCTTGAAGCCTTGGTAACTAGGTACTTAATCACCAGTTTAGGATTTTAAAGTGGTAGTTAAAGCTGGATGCTCTGGCTCAGTTCTCTAATCCCATCTACTTAGGAGGCTGAGGTAAGAGGATCACTTGAGTCTGGGAGTTTGAGACCGGGCCCTGTCTCTAAAAAAAATAAAAAATAAAAAATTAGCCAGGGATGGTGGTGTGCACCTGTAGTCCCAGCTACTTGAGAGGCTGAAGTGGAGAATCTTTTGAACTCAGGAGTTAGGGGCTGCAGTGAGCCATGATCACACCACTGTACTCCAGCCTGGGCAACAGAGTGAGATCTTGTCTTTAAACAAAGAAACAAATAAACAAAAATGTGGGAGTTAATTTGTGGTCTATCGTAGCACCTAATAATTCATCTTTATCATAGTTTTTAATGACTATTTAATAATATTCAAAGGGAAATCTTTCAGCTACATTTGGTGTGTTTGGGAATGTTAAGGAGTGAGTCAGACCACCCCAAAAGGCAAAATAACATTTTGACTTCTACAGTAGGTCTTGTAGGGTATGTCCCTTTAACTGCCATTTTGAGGAACCACAAGCCAGAGAGCAACTAATTTTCCATTTCCTCTCTCATTAATCTCTTTAAAATCTAAAAATTTTAAATTAAGAAATTAGAATATTTATTTATATATTGGTAAGTTGATGTAATTATATTGATGAACCTTTAAATTGTTATTTTTGAAGCTATTTTTTGGTTTAAAAATTCTATCAGAAATGAAGATAATGTGTATACATTAAAGCAAAATTTAAAAACATGTTGATATTGATCATCTGAAGATTTAAAAAATTAGCATAATCAGATAATATTCTTGGTATTTATTTAGGCAGTCTAATCAGTTCCTTAACTGTGTCTGCCTTTATTAGGTTGCTAGAATTTAAATATTAAAAATATATTTAAAAAAATATTTTATGAAATTGCCTGTAATCTTCAAAGTTGCATTTTATGAGTTTTAATTTGAAATTGTTGACATTTTGAATTAACTATTATCTGTGGGTCATATTTTTAATTAGAAAAATATTCTCTGAAGGTGTTGAGGTATCTGGTTAGCTCAGAGCGAATTCTGATAAGCAATCTTTCTTTGTTTCTAGTAAGAGGAATAATATTTACTAGAGATTGAGCTTATACATGATCCAGGGCCTGCAATAGATGTGTTAGGCAGTTTTATCAGCTAAGCCTCCATATAGCTGTGTGCTGTGGCTACAACTTTCGCAAAGCTGACACAACAGCAAGGGGATCTGTGGCCAGTGTAGAGATGTATTGGGCTGTTGAGACTAGGCTGGTGCTATAGCTCTTTCTAGAATATTATGGACAATCATGTGGCATGAGAATCAGGTTGTTCTTTCTCATTACCATAAAAGAAGACAAAGTACAAGGGCAGTTATTTGTTGGTTCAGTGACTTGGGCGTTGGTTACCCTTGCTTGACTCTATGTTCTTCTGCTTTACAGTGCACGGCTCAGTGGGTTCTTTGTGGCTCCAGAGACAAATAATTACACTTTCTGGATTCAGGCAGACAGCCAAGCTTCCTTGCATTTCAGCTGGTCAGAGGAACCAAGGACTAAGGTATTCACTGTCTTCTCATTTTCCTTTTCTCTGTTGACAGTCTTATGAAGAAAGGAAGAATCAAAGTTAAGGCTCTCATGTTTTACAGATAGTTTTAACATGCCATTGGATGACCAGGAACTTTAATTGCTGAAAAAGAATTTGGTTGAATGTGAACCTACTGTTTATTGAGTGTTTACTGTAAGCCAAACATTATGCTACATCTTTTATAGACCTTGTGTCTAGTTTTCACTGCATCTCTGCAAAATGTACATATGTGTGTGTGTGTGTGTGTGTATATATATATATATATATATATATATATATATAATGTATGTGTGTGTGTGTATATACATACATATGTACATATGTATCTTTTCTACATGAGGAAATTGAGGCTTAGAAAGATTGTGTGGGCCAGTGGTGATGGCTCATGCCTCTAATCCTAGTGCTTTGGGAGGCTGAGGCAAGCGGATCACTTGAGCCCAGGAGTTTGAGATCAGCCTGGGCAACATGATAAAACCCTGTCTCTACTGAAAATATAAAAATTAGCCAGGCATGGTGGCACACACCTGTAGTCTCAACTACTCAAGGGGCTGAGGCAGGAGGATCACCTGAGCGTTGAGAGTTGTGGCTGCCACTGCACTCCGGTCTGGGCAACAGAGTGAGATCTTGTCTCAAAAAAATAGGAAAAATTGTGTGCCCAATCCACTTGGATAGCACAAGGCACATTCAGGATTCAACCCCAAATTTACCTGACTCCATAACTTGTGCCTTTTCCGCTAATTTGGGGTAGAGATGTAGGCAGCTATACATAGGAATTCCCCATGAACATTGAAGGATAAGAAAAGATGCCTTTAACAAGCAGCCAAAATGCACTTATGCCATTGACAAAGAATCACAATATTTTCCTCAAATTGTTAATATGTTTCTCTCATATTGGTTTGCTAGTTGGTTGGAGAAATGTCATAGATTTTAATGTATCAACATTCCAGGTCTCTCAAAGGCTTAATACTACTTTCTCTATAGCATCATGTAATCCTAGGGTTTAGGTTGACTGTTACTTCTCTAAACATGGCCCATCTAGTCTCATTTGAGTACTCTCAATTGAAAGAGAGAGAGAGAGAAAGAGAGAGAGAGAGAGAGAGAGAGAGTGAGCACGTTGCTGGAGAAGTATAAACAACCACAGGGCCCAGGTAACTGGGTTAATACATTAAAAGGCAGATCAGTTCAAAACCCTCTTGTTTGTAGCACTTCAGACACTTAGTGTTTGAGAAAGATATGCCTGGAAGCTTCATAATGTTGACCATGATATGCTTTTTTGGGCACAGGTGAAAGTGGCCTCCATCAGCGTTGGCACTACTGACTGGTTTGACTCCTGGGAACAGAATAGGGAGGAAGGGACCTGGCAGCAGAAGACTCCCAAGTTGGAGCTGTTGGGTGGAGCCAAGTACTACCTGGAAGCAGAGCATCACGGGTTAGCCCCAAGTACAGGGATGAGGATTGGTGTCCAGATTCACAACACCTGGCTGAATCCTGATGTGGTCACCACTTACCTCCGGGAGAAGCACCAGATCCGAGCCCAAGCCCAGAGGCTTCCAGAAGTACAGGTCTGTGTTTTTTCCCAGTCCCTTGGAGTTGAACTCTGGAAGGAATAAAGCCCTGCCTAGCAGGAGCACTGACTGGGAGTCTGGGGACCTGAGGTGTCATTATAACCTTGCTGTCAAAGAAATGGGGTATCCAACAGCATTGTGAAGATGTCTACAAAAATGTAAGGTCTTATTACTGAGATTATCTTACTCATTGAGTTGGTTTTAGGAATTTAAGTTCCAAGTAAGCCTTCTTTTAGAACTATTTTCCAGAGTAAAGACAAGTTCCTCTAAACACACCCCCAACACATGTGTATGCATGCATGTGAACCATATACACATGAAATTCCATAATTTTTTGACTGATTCAGGTCCTATTTCCCTACAGGCTGTGTTTTTGAAGTTCGCTTTGAAAAGGTCATGTCCTTTAGGTCTCTCAGTTGTGCCCCATATTTTTGTTGAACAGTTTTTATGTATTATAGTTTTTGTTCACTTTTTGGTATACAAAGACAAGTCAGTATGGACTCTGCCCTCTAAAGCTTACAGTCTAATAGTAAAACATGTACACAACCATAGAACAAAGTAGAAAGTAACAAGTGATTTAAGAAATTAAAAGCTGCGTAGAACTTACCCCATAGCAAAAGTAGAATGTTCCCAACAGGGAATATGTTGGAAGCAAAGCAGAGACTGGATAAGCCTCCAAGAGAGGGGCCATGCCATGGGGATGCCTCTGCTTGCTGGTCTACCCTTGGGAGAAAGCAATTGGTGAGAGGGGCTGAAAGTGCAGCATTGAATGGCAACCATTACATCTCATACTTTCAATCAAAGGGCACAGACAAATAGGGAAGATTGACACCTATAAGATTATTCCAACAAAATAATATCAGTATACACATGTGAGTAGCAGCCTTTGTGCTTCTGGGTCAGGTGGGTAGGGATTGGTATTGCTCTCTGGATTTGAGAGAATATAAGATTATTACAACAAAATTTCTCATTAGGTGATGATGCTGTGCTCTTCAGAGATTTCTGAATGGTAGAGCATTGAAAAGTTAAAATTATAACAAAAAGGAAATAGCAAGCTGAGGAGGTATGTCCGGTGTTCTTAGATTCTCCCTCTGGCTTAATTAACACTATCATTTAGTCTTGTCTCTCTTGACTTTTTTAGGTGCTGAATGTGTCAGGCAGAGGAAGCTTCTTCCTTACTTGGGACAATGTCTCTAGTCAGCCAATCCCTGCAAATGCCACAGCTCATCTGGTGGGAGACTTCTTCAAAAAATGAGGGATGGGGGTGGGAGAACTGAGGGTGGTCTTTATGCTCATGATATAAATTCCTGGTATTTTTTTTCTTTGTAATAGATTCAAACAACAATTGAGGAGTTACTTGCAGTCAAATGCAAACTGGAACCCCTTTCAGCTAACATCCTTCTCCGACTTGGATTTGAACGAGGTGCTGTCCCTGGTTTGACACATTGATTGTCTTTGTTGTCATTGTCTTCTTGCTTTCTATAAAATGAGCACAATCCCCATTTCCTCTCCAAGATGCTAACAGAGTCAAACAAAAATATGAAATCTGGATTTGGCTACTGAGTGGCTGAGGGACTGGCACTGTGTGTGGGAGGGTGATGCTTGTGGTGTGGTTGTCAATAGAAAGGAAAGGCGGCCATGTGCGGTGGCTCATGCCTGTAATCCTAGCATTTTGGGAAGCTGAGGTGGGCAGATCATGAGATCAGGAGTTTGAGACCAGCCTGGCTAACATGCTGAAACCCCATCTCTACTAAAAATACAAAAAATTAGCCAGGTGACACGCATCTGTAGTCTCAGCTGCTTGGGAGGCTGAGGCTGGAGAATAGCTTGAACTCAAGAGGTAGAGGTTGCAGTGAGCCAAGATTGCACTACTGTACTTCAGCATGGTGACGGAATGAGACTCTGTCTCAAAAAAAAAAAAAAAAAAAAAAAGGCATTCCTTCTGAGCTGTGAGGTAGAATGCAGCACTCTCCCATACTAGCCATACCACACAGTGGAAAAAGGTCAAAGACGAAGACATAGGTGAGAAACATGCAAACATAGACAAAACCATCTTAATCTTCAGATTATACTAAAGGAATTACTACTTAAGAAATTGTCTTAAGAAGTTCTTAAAATGTGAGGGTATGTTTTTAAAACTAAGTTGAACTAAATTCTAGTTATTTTTGAACATCTAGTTATTTTTGAATATCAAGATGTTGGAACATCTTGATATTCCTTGTCTTTTTGCTTCTCAATCGTTCTTCAAGTCCTGGTACACAGAGAAAATGCTAAAAGATTTTCAAGGCTTCGGGGAACACAGAATGAGTTTCTTACAGCTGGAGCCTTCAAACCAGGGGTGCTGACCACTCATGCTGTGCCCAGCTCTCCCAGGGCTGAGGGTCCCATATCATGGTGAATAGGACAGCTCCTACAACAAAGAATTATCCAGCCCCTAAAATATTGATAGTGCTGATGTTGAAAACTCCTGCTCTAAAGTCTTCTTGTGCCAACAACTTTGCCCCTGAATTAGAAACCAAGGATGCTGGGGAGTTAGAATTGAAGAACTGAGGCTCAGAGAGGTTGAGTTACTTGCTCGAGGCTGCATGGGTAATTAGGTTAGAACAGGGGTTTTCTTAAGTGAGATACTCTAAAATCATGCACATGTGTCAGGAAGCTCTATCTTGTTTAACATCTATGCCTGTTTTTCTATTTTATCTGAACTGCATCCAGGCCCAGAAGTTTCCAGCTCTGATGGGGACCTCACCAGTGGGACGGAGCCCTTCTGTGGCAGGTTCAGCCTCCGTCAGCCTCGACACATTGTCCTAACTCCCTCGGCTGCCCAGAAGGGCTATCGGCTGGATCAGTATACACAGGTGAGTAGCAGCCCTTGTGGTTCTGGGTCAGGGGGTTAGGAATTGGTATTGCTCTCTGGATTTGAGACTGAAAACACAGAAACACAAAGGGGTGATTGCTGTGATCTACCCAAGTTGTTTCAGGCTGAGGTTCTAGGTCTCTCGACTGCGGTTTTAGGTATAAACAGACACCACTGGTCCCCACTTGTGTGTTATTACCTGGAAATGCCTTTGTGTTAGCTGTGAGACCTGTGGAAGTGTTTATTTGTTGCAATATTTTATCTGATCTCCAAGAGTACAGACTGTGTCATTGGACTATCTGGTTTTAAATCCTGAATCCACACCCATGTGCCTTCCATGTCTGTCTTACGTACAGTATGCCTTCATTTACTCATCTGTAAAATTGATAGTAATGTGGTTTATCTCTCAGGACTGTGGTATAGATTAAATGAGAGAATCTAGTAAAGTGCATGCACAGTTAGGACCCAGCGAAGGCTAATTATTGTTACTCTAGTTGTTGTTATTATTGATGGATTGAATTGACTGATGCCGTTCTGAAACACCTCTTACATTCTTTGATCTGATGGCTCCACCATTCTTGTAAAAGAAGTGCAACTCACTTGCCCTTTGGGAACCGGAGTGAGTTTTGCTGCAGTGGTAGAGCTCATGGCAGTAGTTTCTAGTCCTTTCCTAGTCGGGCTGCTATGGGATTTGGGGCTAAATGGTTCAGGCTTGAGTCCTCCCTTCTTCAGCCTCATCTCTTCTGCAGGGGCACCCAATGGAGGTGATTTTGCCCCCCAGGGAAGAGTTGGCAATGTATGGAGACAGTTTTGGTTGTCGCAGCTGGGGAAGTGCTATCGGCATCGGTGGGTGGAGTCCAGGGGAGCTGATGAGGACCCTGTAATGCACAGAACAGCCCCGACGATAAATAATTACCCAGCCCCTGATATTGATAGTGCTGAGGTTGAACACTCCTGCTTTAAAGTTTTTTTGTGCCAACAGCTTTGTCCCTAACTGAGTTAGAAGCCAAGGATGCTGGGGAGTTAGAGTTGAGAAACTGAGGCTCAGAGATGTTCAGTTACTTGCTTGAGGTTGCACAGGTAATTGGGTTAGAACAGGGGTTTTCTTAAGTGGGTACTCTAAAATCTTCACTGCCAAGCACAGTGATAGGCATTTAAAAACTCTGTTTAATAACATGTTTTTGGCTCCAGAAAAAGTATTTATTGTATTTTCCCCAGCTTTATTTAGCTAGGTAAGTAACTATTTATTTGTCTCTCTGGCTATACTGGTAGCTCTGGAGGGCAGGAACTGGGCTGACTCTCATAGTCTATGGCAGGGTTCTAGGGATGTGGGCTCCTCACTACATATTGTTTGAATGACAGCTTCTTGCACTAATAGAACTGAAGGACTTATTTGGTGTCCATAGCTGTGTCTTGCATACAAAGGCCACACAAACAAGATCCTGAAGATGACTGTGTCCTTCACAATTGGCTTTCAAAACATGGTGAAGAACACCACCTGTGACTGGAGTCTCATGAGGACCAGCCCCAAGAGGTAGCTAATCGGTGGGGAGCCATGGTGGAAATTTGGTCAGCTGGGAGGATTAACTCTCTTGGGGACAGTGAGGCACTCATGGTCTTATATTTGGGCCTTGTATACTAATTTGAGGATTTGAATATATTTTATTTGACCAAAAAGTTAGACTCCAGAGCAGTTAATTGTTAAGTATATACTATTTCTTTTTTTTTTTTTTTTTTTTTTTTTTTTTTATTTTTTTTTTTTTTTTTTTTTTTTTGAGACGGAGTTTCCTCTTGTTACCCAGGCTGGAGTGCAATGGCGCGATCTCGGCTCACCGCAGCCTCCGCCTCCTGGGTTCGGGCAATTCTCCTGCCTCAGCCTCCTGAGTAGCTGGGATTACAGGCTCGCACCACCATGCCCAGCTAATTTTTTGTATTTTTTGGAGACGGGGTTTCACCATGTTGACCAGGATGGTCTCGATCTCTTGACCTCGTGATCCACCCGCCTCGGCCTCCCAAAGTGCTGGGATTACAGGCTTGAGCCACCGCGCCCGGCCCGTATATACTATTTCTTACAGGGAGTCTGACATTTCTAGTAGGAATAGAATCGTAAAACAGCACAGTTGGGGGAAACCTTAGAGAACATTCTTTGACATGACAGATAGAGGGAATTTGGGGCCCCGAGAATTTGTGATTCATCAAAATTCATTCAGCTAGTGACTCTGGAATAAAATTTAGCCATCTTGATCCCTTGATTCAGTGCTTCCCACATAATTCTCATGAATGAATTTGGTAATGTCCAGAAGTATCAATCTTCTCTGTGGTTACAGCCTAACATTATAATTTGCTTACGATGCATAATTAAACTGTAATTTGAAAATGCTGCTGACAGTGCGTGTCACGGATGAATGATTGACTTAAAAGGTAACTCCTGGTGTTATATCCAAGGCTGAGCTGAGCCCATCTTGGGTGGAGTGTTTGTACCTATGGCACCCAGGACTGCATGGGTGCAGGGGTTCATGGGGTCTCTCTCCTGGCTGCATAGCCCTGAGGCCCCTGCCCCAGGTTTGGGAAAATGAGCTCTAATGGGAGAGGACTGCAGGCACTTGCTGAGAGCCCAGTTCTCTATGCTGCTTTTCAGCTGGCAGTTCCGCTGCACTGACCTCTGGGAGACGTGTGTGCGTTGCTCCGGGGATCTCCAGCCCCCTCTGGCAAACTCCCCAGTGCTGGTTCATCAGATTGACCTTCTCCCACTGGCTCAGGAGACAGGCCTGTTCTATGTGGATGAAATTATTATTGCAGACACAAACTTAACAGGTAATCATCAAATTCTCTCTCCTCTACAAGCCTGTCAAATGCCTACCTCAAACTTTCCTGCTAGGGGTTACTGTTTTTTAATGAGGAGGAAGCAGGTGATTCTCCATTTTGCCTGCCTTGCCTCTAGAAAACAGAGGGGGCTGAGGTGCACTTGGTTTTATGTCTCTCTAGCTAGTCCCTCTTCTTCCCGATTTTCCCCACTATCTGCTCTTGCTTCTGGTGTCTATACTCTTACCACAGTTTTCCCTTTCTTGCTGGGGACACTTGGTTTCTTCATCTGTAGAATGGGTATAATAAGGACCCTACTTCATTAGATTACTGTGACGATTAACCAAGGTTTAATATAAAGCACTCCTTATCGGTCCTGTCCATAGAGGTGGCCAATAAATATAAGCAATTATTGTTATCATTATTATTATCATTAGATAGCAGGATTTTTCCACCTCTCCATGAGTTAATACATCATACCAGCCACTGGAAGGAACACAGCAGTGTCTGTCCCTGTAAATGGGCTAAGAGTCTGATGTACAACCTTCAAGATAGATGCAGTGAGAGTTGGAAGGTAATCATCTTCTTGAGAGAGAAGGTCTTGTCCTTTCTGCCTCCCCAGACTCTTGCCACTCATTATTTAGAGATAGCACCTGACTCTTTCTTCCCGAAGTCTCCCTTGACCTCTCTTGGGCACAGTCGTCTCACCTGGCTCTTGCCCGTGAATCAAGGATGAAGTCCTCCTCCGAGGCCCTGCTGAGGTGCCCGTGTGTGATGTGCACCCACAGCCAACCCAGAATGGTGCAGCTTGCCCTCAGTGTCTTCAGACTTCCAACTTTTGCTCATGTTTCCATCTCTGTGAAATCCTTGTGGTCAGCTAGCCTACTTTTTATAGTCTCTTTCCCTTTCCAAGAAGAAAAGGATGATACCTTCATTTACATTTTGATTTAGAAAATGTACAACTTTTCGGTTTTGCCTACACATGGCAGTACTGAAGGCAGGGGAACTTGGGGATGGGTGGCAAGGGGCTCTTTATCAGCCTCGAAATTACATCATCTTCGATTCTCATCAAAATCCCATCTCTCCTCTGTTTCCGTAGTTTAAGTGTTTTGGGGACATCTGGGTCATTGCTTATTGTTCCAAACCTGTTCATGCTCTGGCACACTTAGAAAATGGCACTATTCATGTGACATGCTGGGGTGACTGCCTGAATTTTTTAGTGCCCGAGACAACTGGCTGGGGGTCTTTGTTGACCCCAAGTGTTACCTCAATTTCCAGAAGGCTGAGAGAATCAATATTTCATACACTGGAGCCCGCTGGTTGGAAAACCCAGGACTGGATAGTAGGTGCCGTTCAGTTTTTCTTTTTTCTCCCTTGAATGCCATTCTGCCTCTCCAAACACTTGAAGCCAAGGATTCAGAACCTTTTCTCACTGCCCCCACCTCTTTGCCACCAAATTCTCTGTGTATCTGGAATCATCCAGGGATGAGGTGAGGTGGGAGCAGGAAGGGAGAGGGTGGAGACGAGAGAGAAGCTGGGGTGGCTTGCGTGAAACGGTCTGCCTCCCACTTTGTCACATTAACCCTGCTGGCAGTGGCTTTGTTTTCAGGATTATTTAATGGCAACATAAACTACACAATTGGGCTCAATATTCATAGTTAATTGTATATCACTTATCTGATCTCAATTTTATATTTGATGATATCCCCCCACCTAATGTCCTCTGTGAAACTTCTTTTTATCTCCCCTACCACGGGACAGTGGTAGCTTCCATTTATTTCTCATTTAGTTCTCAGAAGCCCACGAGTTTGTCCTATTATCTCCACCTGTGGATGAGGACAGCAAGGCTAAAAGGAGTTGAATATTTTGCCCTAGCTCACACAGCAGGGGTGTGGAGGAGATTGGAATCTAGTGACCACTGACCCTCGAACTGAACCTTCAGTGACTCTACCCAGCTGAGCAAATAATCATTTGTTGACCACCAGCTCTATGCCTAGCAGGTGCTAAGCATTAAGCATGTGAAGAATATTTTTTATTTGAGACGGAGTCTCACTCTGTCCTCAGGCTGGTATGCAGTGGTGCAATCTCGGCTCACTGCGACCTCCACCTCCTGGGCCCAAGTAATTCTCCTGCCTCAGCCTCCCAAGTAGCTGGCATTACAGGTGCGCACCACCATACCCAGGTAATTTTTGTATTTTTAGTAGAGACGGGGTTTCACCATTTTGTCCAGGATGGGCTCGATCTCTTGACCTCGTGATCCACCCACCTCAGCCTCCCAAAGTGCTGGGATTACAGGTGTGAGCCACAGCACCCGTCCTTAAATCTTAAGTCTCACTAAACTCTCCTTGCCTTGCAGATTGCTATCAATCAAGCATGTCATAATCCCTGCTTTACAAATAAGAAAACTGAGTCTTACGGAGCATATGTGGATTAGCCGAGTGGGTATCCAACAGAAGTGAAAAAATCAGGATTTGACCAGTGGTCTCTCTTAAAGCGTGCACTCTTTCTGCACACGTGCTGGCCCCACACTGTGGATGGATAAACACCCAAGGACTCCCATGTGTGCCTCTGAGTTCAGTGCTCCTAAGAGGATCAGCTGAACATCTTTAGAGTTGCTAGAAGGAAAGGAGGAAAAGGTGGCAGGTACACTGCAATAGATTAACTGCGTAGGAGTGCCTCCAAGAGCATAGGGAGCACGGGCTGGGGGCTTATTGAACTTTTCTGTGGAATCAGCCTTCGTCTCCTTAAATCAGGATCTTGCACTTTCCTTTTTGTACTAAACTGAATGGCGGATCCTCCTGCCTCTTCTCTGTGTGTTCTTTACATGGAGAGGAGGCAGGATAAGTAAAAATCTATGCTTTAGGTGTGTGCTGAGATCTGAGTCTCTCACATCTCCAATTGGGATTTTCCACACAGCAAGTCTCCCATCTTGAGTCACTTGATAGTAATTGGATCACTGGTCTCTAGTTTCTCAAGCTGATTCTGGAACGGCTCGCCCAGGGGGGAATCTCGTGGAATCAGTCTCTGTGGCGGGATCCCCTCCGGTCTACAGTGTCACCTCCTGGCTGGCGGGGTGTGGCACGGAGCTCCCGCTCATCACTGCACGGTAAGGAGTGGTTTTTGTATACCTGTCCCTTCTTAGGATTGCTTGTTGGTCTTGGGGGACACAGGGGAGACTTTTTATCAGGAAAAGCTACCTGTTTTGTTGCTTAAAGCAATGTTCTCAATCTTGAGAATGCAGCACCAGGTTCACCTGTAAGCCTTGTTAAAATTACTGGGCCTACTGTCAGAGTTTCAAATTCAGTGGGTTTTGGGGAAAACCTGAGAATTTGTATTTTTAATAAGTTCCTTGTTGATGCTGATTCTGCTAGCCTGGGGACTACACTTGGAGAACGAATTCCAAGTCAGTTAGTTTAAAAATAGTGGCATTTTGTGTTATTCAGAGGTTCACACCACCACTGTCCTTTTTTCTTTTTTTTTTTTTTGTTCCCCTCATTGCATTCCTCATGTATTAATCTTATTGAAATCCTTTGAGGTAAAATATCTAGAAAAGAAAAATAGCTATTTCTAAGAACTTACCACCAGATGGCACTAGAGCCCCATAAGCATTGCTTTGTAATAACCTTTTCTAGCCACAGTTTACAAAGCAGTAACTAAAGATTAGGCTCCTTCTAAGCTTCTGGAGCACGTGTATACTCTCATTTGTTCTTTTAATTTTTCACCTAAATCTCAATGGAATGAGAATAATTGAGTGCTCTGCTTTTGGTGTATGTATATGTATAGGTGTGTAGATATATATATATATACATATGCACACTGTACATATGTGTATATACATATATATCTAGATATACAGTCATGCACCACATAACAATGTTTCTTTCAATGATGGACCAAATATATGATGGTGGTCCTATAAGATTATACTACCATATTTTTACTGTACCTTTTCTGTGTTTAGATATATTTTGATACATGAATACGTACCATTGTGTTACAATTGCCTAGAGTATTCAGTACAGCTACAGGCTGTGCAGGCTTGTAGCCTAGGACCAACAGTCTATACCATACAGCCTAGGTGTGTGGTAGGCTGTACCATCTAGGATTGTGTAAGTAAGCTCTATGGTGAATGCACAATGATGAGATTGGCTAAGGATGCATTTCTTAAAATGTATCCTCACCATCAAGCGATACATAACTGTATGGGTTTCTTTCCCTCATCTTTTTCTACTATGTTCCAGAATGAGTTCTTATGTCTACAGCATGCTGCAATGGCGTATTAAAGGCAGGTGCAGGAAGTTTGAAGTACTTCACTTTCCTTGACTAAATGTTTGTTTTATGGTTCTCTGGGCAGGAAAAGCAGTAAAACCATCCATTGAAAATGAAGGGGTGAAATATCTCCAGTGGCCGAAAGGAAGCCCACTATATTGGCAGGCTCTAAATGCCAACATTTTTGACTCTGAAATGATAGAGGTGAATTAAGTGACTCTGAAATAATTCTCACGTCGAGTGGTCCTGAAAACTCCCTGTCTGAATTTCCTCAGGTCCTTTAGCTCTTTCTGGAAGGCTCCAGCCTAAGCACGACAGGACACCCTTCAGACAAGGTCCTCCTAGGTGCACACCCCAACCCAGATGTTAATGCTTTGTTTCTGATGTGCAACAGCTCTGTGCCCACTGAAGGAATAGAACAGGGATCTGGACTGGCCCTGGTGACGACCCAGAGACGACAGCGGACGAGTCCACCTCTAGGAGGACACTTTCGCATCCAGCTTCCTAATACAGTGATTTCTGGTAAGGGGGCGATTGGGAGTGCAGCACTTCTCACATATTTCAGGGCATTCCCAGAGGAACATCCTGCAAGGTGGTCAGGCAGGTGATAGTATTAAAAGTACTGTGTTTATTTTCCAGAGTCTGAAAGTCACATTCTTAAAATGAAAGATTTGGAAAGGGACTATTAATACTACCCAATCTTTACGTTTTGGAGATATGGAAGATGTCTAGATGTACACATGTGAGTGGTCAGCTTCCTGGGACTATTGTAAGGAGTTACCACAAACTTGGTGACTTCAAACAGCAAAAATTGATTCTCTTTCAGTTCTGGGGGCCGGAAGTCCAAAATCAAGTTGTCGGTAGGGCCACGCTCCTGTGGAAGGATTTGCTCCTGCCTCTTCTGGCTTCTGGTGGTGGCTGGCATGTCTTGACGGTGGCCATATCACTCCAACTGCTGCCTCTGTGATTAAGTTGCTTCTTCCTCTTCTGCCTCAAAATGTTCTCTGCCTCTCTCTTAAAAGGATACCTATTATATAACAGTATTTAGGGTCCACCTGGGATAATCTAGGACAGATTTCTCCTCTTAAGACACTTAGTCACATTTTTTGCCATATGAAGTTTATTCTTTTAACATTCATATTTTCTGGGGATTAGGTCATTATGCCATCTTTCAGGGGGTTCACCATTCAGCCAACTACACTGAGGCTTGCTGAGAGGTCATACAAATAGCTGATGACAGGTCCAGTTGTGAACCTGGGTATTTGATTCCTGGGTCAGTCCTCTTCTCTCTAGAGTTTTATAGGTCAAAACACATGGTAGCCCTGGTCCTTCAGAGTTAAACTTAATGGTGATGTCATATACTGTGGAGGATTTTAGTGGTTCCAACAAATGTAGAAAGAACTTTCAGGTGCAATTAGAGTAGTGTTTGTAAATCTTCAAGAATACACACAATGCACAAAGAACAAGGATTAGAAGTGATAATGATAGGTTACTTATTTGGTAGAAACATGAAGAATCAAAAGCAAGGCTCAGTAGAACTTGGGGGGGCTATATAAAAGTTAGAACATGAGGCTGGGCGCCATGGCTCACGCCTATGATCTCAGCACTTTGGGAGGCTGAGGCAGATGCATCATAAGGTCAGGAGTTTAAGACCAGCCTGGCCAAGATGGTGAAACCCCAACTCTACTAAAAATATGCTCTTCAGTTTTTTTTTTTTTTTTAATTACTGTAGGGAAATACTGAGGAACGGTCAGAGCTCCTATTCTGATCTTTTCATCAAGGTACCTTTCCTAATAATGTGGTTCAACTGTGAATGCAGAAGTGGGAAGGGGAGGGAGAAAAAGAAAACTGGCTTTAGAGGATATGGAAAAATGAAAGTACAATTGTTGCAAATAATGCAGACTTCAAAAACAAAAAAGTCACAACCCAAACCAAAATTTAAATGATCAGAACTGGCAGCACAAAGAAAACGCCCTCTCCTGACTTGTATTGTGGCAGTCTGAATGCCCGCAGAAAACTGTGCCAAAGAGTTTAGAAAAACAAATGGACAATAAAAGTAAACATATACACACAAAACAACAAACTTCCAGTAACTATTTTGGATTGCAAACTGGATAAATTTAATGTTCAATCTGATGAAATAACCATTTGCAAAACACAAAAAATTATCTAGGCATGGTGGCAGGTGCCTGTAATCCTAGCTACGCGGGAGGTTGAGGCAGAGAATTGCTTGAACCTGGGAGGTGGAGGTTGCAGTGAGCAGAGATCGCGCCGCTGCACTCCAGCCTGGGTGACAAAGTGAGACAAAAAAAAAAAAATAATAGTTGGTACATGGTCCAAAAGTCTTTTGCCCTCCCAAGCAGAAAGTCACTAGGCCTGCACGGGACCTTCTTAGGTGGGAGAAATGGAGTGGTGATTTTACCATAATAGGATGACTCAGGAGAACTGGAAGATCCCTAGGTGTTGACTCTGGTAAATGGGGAAACAAACATCCACTGCGCCCTGCCTCTATGAGGCCCATTATTGTGCTATTTATATTTGATTTTATTTCTCATGGACAACAGCTCCACTGTAGAGACTCTGCTACTGATTTCCATCACTGATGATCCTCAGATCATCGCCTGCAAAACAACAAGGAAGTTGGCCTTGCCTGGCCTTTTGAATGATGATGGATCTGAAATTCTGTATAAATATAGAAACATGTTTTGTAAAAGAATAAGAATTTTGTTCACAATTTGGAAACTCAGTGCTATTGTATTAACCCTTTAGGGCAGTGTGGAATTTAAGAGAAATGCTCTTGAGTAGGTAGAAGGCAACCCGGGTTTTTATGTAAACCTGTCTTCCTGCATTGGCAAGCTTCTGAATAGGGTTGAGTTTCATTTTCTTCATCCCTAAAGTAGGCATTAGGGCACCCAATGACCCATCTCACAGGGCTGCTGGGATCAGCTAATGAAATGGGAACTTCTGGTAGAGCACAAATCAAGCAGGGTTCAAACACAGAGAGCTGTTATTCCTCTGTGGGGACATGGAATGGGGAAGCAGGTGGTTGGGCTTAAAGAAAATTCTAATAGAGAAACTGAAGTTAAATGCCAACATTCCTTAGCTGGGCTGGCCAAGTTTTTATGGGTGTCAGCTGCTGTACACCTCCGTCACTCCCTGTGAAGTGGCCAACTTTTCTCTGTTTACAGGGGCAGCTAAATTTTTCCAGGGATAATCTAATATTTAATTAGACTTTCAGGCATTAGAAGGGTGTGTGGAGTTTACGTTTTGAGTTGACATTTGAGATGGTTTTATCTGACATGGCTGTGCTCTCTGATTGCTATGTGATATGGTATGAATGATAGTGTAATATAAAAAGTGGGTATTTACTTGTCTTTACCTTGGGAAAAAATGGTTTAACTAGGGCTAGGGATTCTACTGAAGCTCCATTTTGACAGAGATCTCCTGAAAATTTGATAGGTATCCTGATATTTATTGTGTTATCCTTGATGAAACTATCAGGTGGATTAATTAGTGTCTGTGTTTTCTGTATCAAATCCTTCTCTCACAGATGTCCCTGTACACATTTCTGCTCATCACCTTCACCAGCTATTACAGAATAATGCTGATGACTTCACATCCAGGTACCTCAATGCCAGTGACTTCACCGTGAAGGAGGATGTAAACACTTGCTACGAACACGTATGGACCTTGTCCTGGTCCACTCAGACTGGGGATCTGCCCAATTTTATCAGGGTATGTATAGTATCCATTTTAATGGTATAGATTTGCTGGCCTGGAGAAATTCTGGGGAAAAAAAAAAAAGGAATCATAATTATACAAACGGAAACTGTCATGAATTATTAATTTTGTTGGAATATTCAAGTAAAGGGATTCTATAATCTTTCTTTCTGGAAGTTTTCAACCCATATTTTGTAGCTCATATCCCTGAAAAAGCAATTTAAACCCAACATCTCCCTTCCTAACTCAGTGTAGGCAGTGAAGTTGTTGGTCAGTGTCCACCATACAATGATTCTACATCTGTTATTGGATAATTTAAGCAGATGTGATTGACTTAGATGATCGCAGAAGCAGATGGCATAGCAGAAGGAAGTTTAGAAAAGAATTTGCTGTCTTTGTGTAATGACAAAACCAGATGCTCTTGCATATTTAGGGTTTTAAAAAATAATCTAATGATCATCTAGCATTTGGTTATTATAAAATGAAGCCCAAGAAAATTTTTCCTAGTTGTGTGGTATTGTGGGTTATCTGGTTTTCAAAAGTCTAGAAAGGAGATGGAGGAAGAATGGGAGACCTTGCTCCTATTTCGTGGCACTGTTTCCTCCCACTTTATTTTAATATTTTGGATTGCAAACATGTAAAATGGAAAAGCATGGGGAAGCAAGGTATCTCAAGACTTAGAAGATTGGTTTATTGTACCTCTTTTGGCAATCCACTTGCAAATAAATATTTCTCTAATCTACTGAGGCTTTCCTTAGCTCTTATTTACTGTTAGATTTCTATGTTTCAATTCTCTGTCACTCCATTTTCACTTTCTAGCTGTCTGATAATCTGAAATACAATGTGAAAAGACCCTTTATTGTCTGATTAGACAAGATTAGATTTCTGTTCCATGACAGAATTTACCAGAAATGTAACCATCTTAGGTCTCTGATGAAAACCTTACTGGAGTGAACCCTGCTGCAGCCACTCGTGTGGTATATGATGGTGGAGTTTTTCTTGGACCCATATTTGGAGACATGTTGGCTACTGCCAACCAGCATAGTCAGGTGAGAGTAAGTGGGTCACCCTAAGTGCAAGCTCCAGTTTTAAGTCTAAATCAGCTCTTCACTGATTTGTAACATGGACCAATTGATTTAGCTCTTAGGGGTCCTTTTGCCAATGTGTAAAACAGGGGTACTTATGGCTGTGCTTTTTCTACCCTTACAAGATATGTACAGTTCTCCAAAAATATAAATGCCTTGTAACCACAATATTCTATTATAATTATTGATACTATTGTTATGGCAAAAAATTGAGAATCTCTATAGCTAAATATGATTTATGCTTTCACCTGGTGGTATTCAAAGTAAATGCATTAAGTCATTCCTTTTGTCTTTAAAATGTCCTTTTATTTTTTCCTATCTTTCATATTCCTGTTATGTCATCTGCTTTTACTTTGAGAAAGTTTTAAAATACAAAACCAATTAAGAATAATATTGTCAACACCTGGATACCCAAACTGAAAATTGACATTGCCAACATTTTGATATATTTATTATCTTTATGGAAAAAATGAAACAGTATAGATAAAATTGAAGTGTTCTTTATTGCACATGCCATTCCAATACCTCTTCCCTCAATAAGGAAATACTGCCATAAATAAAAACTGTGCTATTAATGCATTTTTATTCATTAGAGAATCAGCGGAGTCATATCTTTTTTATTTTTCCCATTTCCAAGTAGTCTTTGAGTTCTATTAGATTAACATTAGTTCTAGTGAAAGGGAAAGATATGTAGTCTCTTTTCAGGGATCTACCATTCTATGACAAAAGAGACCCAAAATAAAGTGTACAAATACACTGTAGTCTTTAGTTATATATTCATGTAGCAATGGTGGAAGGAAGATTGCCGACTTTGTCTTTACTAGCAAATAAAGGGCTTGCCACATAAAGTGGGTGCCTGGTTGGAAATACAGAGTGGTAAGAAGTCCTTATTCAGTTTAAGTTTATGAAATTTACTTCTATATGACAGAGAGAAAATTTACTCAGTATTTAGCCCATTTAATTACAGAAATGGGTTTCAGCATGTCCACCATCATTTTAAGAAATCTTCATGTGTTTTGAGCCATTCATTGCAATTTTTTTTTTTTTTTTTTTTGAGACAGAGTCTCGCTCTGTTGCCAGGCACCAGGCTGGAGTGCAGTGGCACAATCTTGGCTCACTGCAACCTCCACTTCCTAGGATCAAGCAATTCTCCTGCCTCAGCCTCCCGAATAGCTGGGACTACAGGCGCACGCTACCATGCCCAGCTAATTTTTGTATTTTTAGTAGAGACGGGATTTCACCGTGTTGGTCAGGATGGTCTCAATCTCTTGACCTTGTGATCTGCCCGCCTCGGCCTCCCAAAGTGCTGGGATTGCAGGCATGAGCCACTGTGCCGAGACTCTTTGCCATTTAAGATTAATTACTGGAAAAATAGAAGAAAAGGAATAAGAATAAGCAAATCGTTAACACATTTCAGCTTGAGAAAGCTTCACAAATACTTCATGAATACCCTGGTAGATATGAAATACATAAAGTTGAAAAGAAATTTTGTCTTGTTTCAGGTGGTTGTGCGAGTGAATGACATACCAGCTTATTGCTCAGGTTCCTGCTCTTTCCAGTACCTCCAAGGGTCAACTCCCTGGGTCCATTCTGTGTGGTACTCCATTGGTATGATTTATGACTTGGCTCTGAGATGGGCATAAACCTGAGATTTGCAGTGATTTCGTTAGAGGCCAGGTAGCTGGTGGTGGGTGGGGGGGCGGGATAGAAGATACATGAGCTCATTAGGTGGAGGTTGAGTGATGCAGCAGAAAGTGTATGTTTTGGTCCATCTAGGTATATGGTCATGATTTGAAGTGGGGACAGGTGGACTTTTGATGACTAAAAATATTTTATTGTCTTTGTCCTTTATTTTGAAATATTGTGTTCTTTTGAAAAATTGAGCAGTGATGCCTTCTCACTAGTTTGAGAAAATTTAAGATAGGAGCTGTGTATTGCAATAATAAATACAGATATCCAATTTTTAAGTCAGCATTCAGCTCCTTAAATTTTGGGAGGGGAAAAGGGAAGAGAATGAACATCTGATGATAGAGAGAGGCCTCTTAAATGAAGTGCTATCACTGATAGATTGTTTTATTTTTTAAATTTCTTTCCTCCTTTAAGATGGTGACATCAACCTAATGGTTTATATTACCGGAACTGGTTTCTCTGGTGACTCCCAGTACTTGGAGCTTACAGTGAATAAAACAAATTGCAAAGTTATTTTCTCAAACCAGACCAATGTAGTCTGTCAGATAGACTTGCTACCTGTTGGAGTGCATCGGATCTTGATGTTGGTGAGACCCTCTGGACTTGCTGTCAATGCCACTGGAGAAGACCTCTTCCTGAATGTGGAACCCAGACTGGATGCTGTGGAGCCTTCCACAGCTGCAGAGACTGGTAATCTGGGGAGGGTCTCACAGTGCGTCTGAAGCTAGCGTTCTTGCTGATAAGAATCTAGTCCTGCTGTGTAGTAAATTCCATATTCACTATGATTGACAGTCTTCTGTTTTCTAACGTAAGAATTTAAACGAGCAACAGACATTTGAGCCCTTACATGAACTCATTTGCACAGAAAGGTTTATCGTTTGGCTGGTGATGTCAGGCATAATTGGGTCCTACATAACTTTCGTACATAGGTTGATATTTCACAAGTTTGTGAACTGATGCACACTTTGATACTTGGCTAGCATGCAAAACCAATTGCCATTTGAGCAGGGGGCAGTACAGAGGGTGGTCAGTCTTGTCAACAGAGCCTTATAGATTGGATTAATTCTATGGAAAACCAAAGATTTCTCTATGACTTTCTGCTTTCTGAGGGACACAGCCAGTTAAAAACAACCCATTGCAAGAATCTCAGGAATACTGATGCTTATGTATGCTAATGAATAAACATTAGAGCATTAAACCCTTTTCTTTAATGCTTTGGATTTTTGTCATGGTTTGTTCTGGAGGTCAGAGGATTGCAGCTTAGAACATATTTAAAAGCAGTGTGGTTTGGCCACAAACTCATTCTTCAAAAAAGCAGACCTTTTTCCTAACCCTATTTTGCCTAGAAGAGTGAATTATGAGGCCCACCCAACTTTTTTCTGCACATAAAACAGAGCAAGCATAACTTGGACTTATTTATCCATGATTTAAGGAAGGTCAGATGATATATGAGCTCAGAGTGAAAGATTGTATTCTGTATTAACCCAGAATGATTGGTTTGAGTGTAGGGCATATTGTAGTTTTCTCTCTAGATTTATAAGGGGCTTTGATCTTTCAAAGTTACCTTTGCTGTTCAGGCCACACGTGCCTTCTTTAGCTTCCTCTGCTAGGCTGTAGATACTTTAAGGCAAACAGGTGACTCAGTCATTTCCGTTTACCCTAGATAAAGTGATTTGCACAGGTAGGGTGGCTAACTTTCCCAGTTTGCTTGGGACTGAGGGGGTTCCCAGGACACAGGACTCAGTTTTAAAGCTGGGATGAAGAACTCTTAGTGCTAAAACTTGGTCTTAGGGTAACCAACTCATTCCAATTTTCCTATCAGAACATGCTGTTTAGTTAAGGGATTTCTAGGAGGACTGTGCATTATTTTAGCAAAAGATGGAAAATTCTGAGAAGGGATATGCCAAACAGGTGCGAATTATCTTTTATTAAGACTATGGGGAAAGGGAGAGGGAGAGAGAGAGGCTCTAGCTGCTGCTTTCCTTATTACTGGATTTAAACTTTCTCTATTAATTCTTCCTTTGCCCTACCAATCTGAGTTAATCAGTACTGACTGAACACTGACTGGGCCATCCCCTACAGCCCTGTGGGAGGTGCTGAAGACCCTGCTCCTTAAAGTGTGGTCCTGGGCCGGTAGTGTCTGTAAAACCCATGAGCTTCTTAGAGATGCAGAGTTTCAGGCTCCACCCCAGACTTTCTGAATCAATCTGCATTTTTTTTCCCATTTATTTATTTTATTGCATTTTAGGTTTGGGGGTGCATGTGAAGAGCATGCAAAATTGTTGCATAGGTACAAACGTGGCAGTGTGGTTTGCTGCCTTCCTCCCCATCACCTACATCTGGCATTTCTCCCCTTGCTATCTCTCCCCAGCTCCCTAGCCCTCACCGTCCCTCCCCTATTCCCCCCAACTGACCCCAGTGTGTAGTGCTCCCCTCCCTGTGTCCATGTGTTCGCATTGTTCAACACCTGCCTATGAGTGAGAACCTGTGGTGTTTGATCTTCTGCTCTTCTGTCAGTTTGCTGAGAATGATGGTTTCCAGGTTCATCCATGTCCCTACAAAGGACACAAA